GGTCTAGATAAAGGCATGTATATATGCAAATATATTTATATATGAGGATGGGGAAATAGATCTATGTACATATATTTATAGGTTTAGTATCAACCTTTTCAAGAATCAAATGAAAGAAGAAATCCCAGCTCCATTGATGGCATTTGGAAAAAAAGAGGTGTCCAGGAATTGACAGTATACCACTGAAATGTTTTAACAAATATATGCAGCACTAGAGGTGCTCACTGATCTAAGCCAAGAAATGTGGAAGACAGCTACCCAGTCAACTAACCGGAAGATTTCCATACTTGTGCCTACTCCAAAGAAAGGTGATCCAACACAATGTGGAAATTTCTGAACAGTTATAATTAATAGCACACACAAGTAGTGCTTTGCTGAATGTAATTCAAAAACTATTGCAACAGTACATCAACAGCTACCAGACAATCAAGCTAGTTTCAGAAGAGAATATGGAAGGAGGGATCTGACTGCTTATATCAGATGGATCTTGGGAGAACGCCCAGAATATGAGGATGCTTACGTGTATCTTATTAAAAGCATTCAACCATGTGGATCATAACAAACTACGCATAACTTTGGGAAGAATGAAAAATATAAAACTTAGTTTTGTTCAAGCAAAACCTGTACATAGAAAGAAAAACTATCACTTGAACAGCACTAGGAGATACTATGTTTGAACACAGCATCTGAAGAGAACAAAAAGAGGTATACCTTTGTATCTTTTCACCACACGGATCCAGTTTGTATGCTAAGCCCACTATCCAAGAAGCTGGAGTACAAAATGAGGAAGAATGAGGAATCAGAATCGAAAGAAAACTCATTAACAGCCTGCAATAAGCAAATGAGTCTTAAGGAAAACAAAAGATTTGAAAGTTACTGATGAAGATTATCAATTACGCCTCAGCATAAAAAAAATCTTCAGAGCCCCTAAAAAAATTTTTTTAATCCACAAACGGATCAATAAGCAAGCAGGATAAATATAAAATAAAAATATCAAAATGGTTGCAATTTCTTTTCGCCTGGATCCACAATCAACGCTCATGGCAGTGGCAGTCAGGAAATCAGTGTCGTACATTGGGTAAAGGTGCTGCAGAAGACCTCTTTTAGAGTTGAAAGACTAAGAGGCACTTGACCCATTCATGGCATTTTCAATTACTTCATACGCCTGGGAAAGCTGGATAATGAATAAGACCAAAAGAGCTCATAACTTTGAACTATAGTGCTGGCAAAAAATATTAAATATACCCTGGACTGCCAGAGGAAGTACAGCCAGAATGCTCCTTTAAAGCGACGATGGCAAGATTTCCTTTCACGAGTTTCAAAGAGCTTGTAGAAAAATTACTTTTCATTCACTTCACCCACCTTTCTGAAGCCCCCTCCTACTTTGAGCAGTTTGGTAGCGGGTCAGTCAGAGGGAACCCTCAACTAGAGAAACTGACAGTGACAGCAACGATGGGCTCGACAATTAGGAGAACGGCAGGACTGAGCAGTACTTCAGTCTGCTGTACACAGTGCCACTAATAGTTGGAACGGACGACATGTTTAAGTGACACATGAGAGTCATCTCAATTCTTTACTGAGAATTATACTATATATACTTGAGTATAAGCCAACCCGAGTATCAGCCGAGGCACTTCATTTTACCACAAATTTTACCATAAAAAATGTGAAAAACTCGGTTATACTCAATTGTGTACAGCACGTGCCATGATAGATTATTATAAAGATTATAAAATATGCTGTTCTAGAATTTCATTAAACAAATCTAGATGTACTTGAGATCTGTAATTTATCACACTTGGTATTATAACCTCAGAACTAGACAGTAGGCAGAGTAATTCCCTATCTTAACTATCACATACTTTCCTCATTCTTCACACGTTACTGGTGGTTTCATTCCATAATATACAAAATAAAAGACACCAAGTTTTATTACAAAATATATGCATATTAATATTTAAGGAATTTTTCTAAAGTTTTATGTCGAGAAAAGATTAATTGCAAAAGGTTCAAGGATCAATTTCTGCTTTCACGTGTGTCTACTATATAAGTCTTGAATTCAGTAGGCTTTCCTGGCACACACTGAGAACCCAGTATTTTTAAGTCTCTGGAGAAATACTTGATGAGTGGTGTCTGCTTTGTGGCACTTACACACACAGACATGGTATGTGGCAGAGTTGGACATGCGGATTTCTCTGGAAAAATACATTCTTAAAGTTAAGATAGGACATATTAGGGGAGCTCAGGATAAGTACCCTGTGAAACATGTAAACTACACATAACACATTTAACTTTAGTGTTTAAATCCACATTAGCTAAATGTTACTGCAAATGGAACATACAAAGAAATGTAGAGCCCCCAGTTTTTTGATCCCTTGCTGTGTAGCAGGATTGAAGTTTGCTTTTCCTGAAAATGACTTGACAGAAACTTTCAGATGCTACAATGGGCAAAAGCCATCCAAAAAGCATTGTTTCAAATGCTTTTAATAACTGCTCATACCCAATAGCTTATTACAGTGCAAACTGAAAGATGTTGAAACCAAAAACATCATCTATAAATACCAGTCTACAGTGAAGTGCTTATTCTCTCCAATGTCAATGTTTCAGCTAAGCAGAGGACCAAAGAGTGCATTTAATCAAAGTTTTGCTCCTCCAGATTCATACTTGTACAGCTGTGAGAACTCCAAAAGCTTTACAAATGTCCTGAGGACATTACTATACAGCCATTATTTCTGGGTAGAATTTAAAATGTATTTTCCTTTCCAAATTCTGTGTTATTTCAGCTCTCTACATTAAATAGCTGTAGTTTTAGGGGACATTTTTTTACTCATGCATAATCTGAAAATACAAACCATAACTTCCAAAAGACACAAAATACATGAACTCAATTTCACTGAAAATTACTAAGCTTTTTAGTCTTCTCAGGATATTGTTCAATCCACTCATTTTGTGAAAATTGCATATTGCTTCTCAGTCTGTTAATTTGTATAGCTTAGTGGGTTTTTTAAAAAACTTTTGACCTTGGACAATTTCAGTACGTTTCACTGTATTTGATACTATTCTCCAGTTTCTCTCCATGGACACCCGATTTCAGCTGTTTTTACATTTAGATTTTCTTTCACAAGCTTCTTTTTAGAAACTTTGGTTAGTGGAATCTATGAAAAAGGCTACCTATTTTTCATAATCTACTTAATAAAACATTGTTTTTCAAAGGAGATTGAGAATTGTCACCTATGAGATTGGGATGATTAAAAGGGGTTATTAATTGTGCAATAAATATGCTAATGCATCTCTAAGCTTATAACACTGTCAATAAGCCAAATACAAACCAAGTATTAGAATCTATCTTTTTCAAGGTCCCAATACCGTGGACTATGGTGTTATTCTACATAGTCTAATTACATCATGACATTTCATTAAGGTTGAATCAACATTTAATATTCAAAACCACTATGATAACTATGTATTGGTGATTCACATTGACTTCATTCTTACAACTATATATGGTAATTACTATCCCCATTTCACTGGCGAGAAATTAGATTCTTGAAAGATCAATTACTAAGAGTCCGAACGCAATACCATAACCCATGCCCATCCTCTTCCTGAACTTCTCTGCTATACCTCACTTAAAAGTTATTCTAACAGGGAATCCAGGGCGGATGAGCCCTACAGGACCAGTGGTGTGAGTGGTGATACTGGGAGGGTAGAGGGAGAGTGGGTTGGAAAGAGAGAACCGATTACAAGGAACTATATGTAACCTTCTCCCTGGGGGACAGACAACAGAAAAGTGGGTGAAGGGAGACGTCGGACAGGGCAAGATATGACAAAATACTAATTTATAATTATCAAGGGCTCATGAGGGAGGGGAGAGCAGGGAGGAAGGGGGAAAATGAGGACCTAATGCTAGGGGCTTAAGTGGAGAGCAAATGTTTTGAGAATGATGAGGGCAATGAATATACAAATGCACTTTACACAATTGATATATGTATGGATTGTGATTGAGTTGTATGAACCCCTAATAAAATGATTAAAAAAATAAATAAAATTGCTAAGAGAAAAAAAAGCTATTTATTCTAAAATAATTTAGTGTTCTTTTTTCAAAGCAGAAAAATAACTTTAAAAATTTTTAATTTGATGCTTTGGGGTCTTTGCCCCCTTTACAGTGTGGCAAAGTATCTAAACCAAACACTGATTTCATTATATGCCCCAAAGTTTTCTTGTGTCAAACTCTTGACCATACTGGAAAAAGAAGGGGGAGAAGTATGGGAAAAAATGAGTATGGTCATTAAAAATGTTAACACTACAATTTGCAAATCTCATCTTGTTTTGCCCTTATTTTGTACCCCATGTTATGAAATGTTCATATGAAATTACCTCTTTCTTATACTTTAAAGAGGACATGGAGCCCAGGGAGTGGGAAAACAGTACAGAACTTCAATGAAGTAGAGGAGCAGATAATATACAAACCTGGTGTTAGATTATGCTTTCTTTTAAAGTAAACACACCATTTGAAAAATCCTTTGCAAATGACATAGAGAAATACAGATGCTTCAAAGAAAACAGTGAGCTTGAACAAGGAACCTATGAATTCTTTTTGTGATAATGGTATTAAACGCAGGTTAATGGGTACATGGATGTTTGACTAGTCTTTTGGCAATGTGGGTAATTTTCAATAAGAGTAAAGTAACTTTCTGGAAGGGGGATGGTGATATAGAAATGAAACCATTTAATGAAAATGATGATCTTTCATGGACATATCTGAAATGAAAACTAGTTTTTAGTTATGAGCCATAAATGTAGCTTGCATCTCAATGATTTTGCTTGGGAGAAAGGGTATGAAAGCAGACATGGCTTGCTGAGCTTGCCATTAGAAAAACAACTATATAGAGACAATACATAAAGAGCCTTCAGTTTGCTATGAAAACAACATATTTTTATTAAAGTAATTAAGAGTGAAAAACAACAAAAGGGAAATTCCACAACCTTTGTTTGCAACTATATTATCTTTATGTAGAAAACTTATAAAGTGACATCTGGTCTGGAAAGCAGCTCCACAATAAACTTAACCCTTTCATCAAAAAAACCAAATCAAAGAATCCGTTCACCTGAAAGAAACTGTCTTGCTGTCGAATATTTCAGATGATTTCAATTACATTATACTCATTTCTGATAAATTGTCTTTCCTGCTATTTCAAAGCATCAGAGCGAAAATGTACAAGAGCATGGTGAAGTAAAAGGAGAAAACACAAAATTCTAAGCACAATTACACATGAAAATGAACTAGGGCGTTTTATCTATAGATCTACAAAACTATATAAATAACTAATTACACATATAGTTCATTTACATAGACGCTCCATGAGGTGGTACTGAATAAACACTGAGGCATTGACTTTTCAACCACAGACACGGCTCACTGGGAACAGCAGCACATTCCCACCTTTTCGTCTAGCATCACAGCACTTCCCCTGGGATTTGTGTTTGTGTATTACCTAAGTTATGGGAAGCTAAAAACAAAAATAAAGAGTACAATGGAGTAAACACCCCCTAAAATCTAGTCTAAAACATGCACGCGAAATATTGAGAACAAACACTGTGTAAATGCGAGATTTTTATAAATACTCACATGTTCCTTTAAACATCAAACGCATCTGCATGGGATTTTCGCTAATTGACGTTTACACATTAAAATGTAACAGAAAAGGGGGGTAGGGTGGGGGAGGGCAGGGATAAAGGGGAGCAAATATCAAGTGCAAGAAGAATGTTTTCGAATTGATGGTGCAGCAATTTCATGCTTGATCTAATTGAACTAGGGATTGTTATAATTATCTGCAAGAGCTCCCAATAAAACGGAGAAAAAAATGTAACAAGAGTAAAACAAATTACAACATAGCTCTTATATCTTAAATGTCTTAAAGGGACAGTCTTAGGAAAGTGGTACACTTCTTTTTTAAACACAAGTTTCTCTGTTAAAGAGATCACACTGCAAGGCCATCAGGGTAGGTTCTGTCACTTTAGCGAGACAGGGATTTGCTTTTATTCACTAACAACAATAATGATAAACTGCCATCATTGATATATACTTCTTTAAAATGCACACCACCGTGGAGGCAAATAAAGACACTAATTTTATGAAACCTAAACTTGATCATGATCAGAATGCTTTATAAATACTTTCTGGTATTAACCATCTTAAGAGTTTGGGGGTAAATTATAGAAGTCATAAGCAAGTATTGCCTTTCATGTATAACTTTTTAATTGGGATAAAAAGTCTTAAGGGTAAGCCCATGGGAATGGTCTACAAAAAGACAAATTAGGTCAGAGTACAGTAATTTCCTGCAAACTTTAGCAGAAAAACCAAGGAAATTCTGAGCCAAATAAAAGCACACTTTGGGTCAGGATTTTCATCTCTAACTTCTCAACATGCTTCAAATCAGAAATCTCTTCACTTACTAGCAGTTATCAAGAAAACAGAGTGCCAAAAAAAGAGATTCACTAACATGATCCTCTTTAATCAGCAGGACTCTCTTCGGTAAGAAATAGACTACCATTTATATTCTTTCTCTAATCTGTAGTTGGAAGAGGAATGGTACTGGTGGTAAGGAATCCCTATGTAAAAATGTTGGGCCAGAGGGGAAAGGGCCTAAGATGCTCCCTCTCAGAGGAATACACAGAGGATTTCTGCTATGTGTAGCTCTGGGAGAAGACAGTAAGGCTTTATACTGGAGAGCTGGCACAGGGTACTTCCTGTAACTATGTCATGACTATGAACATTATAGTGAACTTTTGGAACTTTGTTACATAGTGTTCTTTATATTAGAATCAGGTGAATATGCAATTTCAAAAGCATGGTACATTGGGAGTTAGAATCTACCACTGTAACCAATGGATTCTTTTGTTTTTCTTTTTTTTTCCTTTTGTTTTTCATAATGGCATCAGTTTCTGATCCCATTGAACTCTATTGTGTGTCCATGGGGGAAATAAACATACATAACTCTAGGTATTTTCTCATGAAGTTAAATTGGAAATAAACTATTTACTAATGCCATCTGTAGTCCAAGAGAAAAGAATTCAAGGTAATCTAACAGATATATTAATAGACTTCACAGATGATATATTCCATCAGGCTTAAGCAAGCTTCGCCACCACAAATAGGAGTGTACCTGAAGCCAAATAAAAATAAGTGTTAAATTACACCCCAAGAGGAAAAATACAATTTAGCACCCCAAAGTGACCCAAGAGTTCCTTTCTTATTCTCCCAGACATTTCCCAAGATGGGCGAGAAATAAAGCATCCTTTGAAATTTGACTGACAAAATTTTTCAATTTGTCCAAATAATTTGTCCAATTATTTCTAAGCCTGTAGTAGACCATCAGTAAGTGATAGAATGCTCAAATCACCAACAACTCCTATTGCTATTTTTCAAGGAAAGATAGATTATATCAATTTTGATTCTCCTAGGCAGTGAACCAAAGAAGAAAAACGTGTTGCTTTATAAATGGTTGGATTTATACATATTTAAAAGTTAGCACCAAATGTTCACATTTAATTAATCTGAGCAACTATTAGAAATTAACCCTTTCTTACAAAATGGGAAAAGGAAAAAAATATAGCTGAATGACAAGGGAAAATTACTCAAGCAATATTTTCGCATTGGTAAGACCTATTAAGCAAATCAATCTCATCAGCTAACTGCAAAAGCTATCAGAGGTTTGCCCAGGTTGGCAGCAGTATGTGCAGTTAGCATCCTAGAGCTCAGCTGAAAGAACTAATCCCTGAAGCATGGGAACAGGATTTCTTCTGTGACCAGGCAAGATTAAAGAAAACAAATTAAAATTAGGCTTTTAAAAACTCAGCCTAAATCAAAGCTATCCATTATAAAATAGTGTTCTACAGTCTCTATTAGGGGTGAGGAAAAATAAAAACAAATATATAAAACCACTACACAATTAAGTGCCTAAATGAAAAATTGAAAGCAAAATTCACAAATAGTAGTGTCAGTTCAAGTCTACAGAACCCTTTATTACATTTTATTTGTAAGTAAAACCAAGAGTACAAACTTTCTTATTTCTCACCCCACATTATTTTTATTCCCATTGCATAATCAACTTCAACAGTTTGATTTAAACTCACTTTTTGCACCCTGAATCAAAAGACAACTGTATGCGCCATTTTCTGCAAACCATTATACTTCAAATATCGCTTAACATTTTAACTAAACACTGAATCCTTTAATACACTAGGATAGTTTAACAGGGTTAAAGAGACAACCAACATTCAAGAAAACCTCTATGGCCAAATCTTAAAGTCTCTTTTATATAAATAAATGTCTTTCATGATAGAAGATAAAATCAAGTTTTCCCAAAAAATAAGTTTTTGCTCAGAATATGGGTTTGGTGTATTGAAATAATAGTTTCTTTATAAGGCATTCCATGAACAAAAAGCACCATGTCCAATATCCACCTGTCCTCTGACTTCTGGGTACTAACATTAGCCAGTGAAGAGAATTTTAATGAAGAAGAGAGGGGTTGGCAAACCTACAAGAGGAATCTCAAGTTCCTTAATTTTGATAGTCATCTTGGTAAATATAGAAGTTTAGCTACAGGAACATTGGAGTTGGTAAAGTGCATTATGTAAAAGAAACACAATAGTAGTCCCAAACTCACTTAGAACTCTTAAGAGATCTGCTGTCACCAGTGGGGCAAAAAAACAACATTATAGTTTTCTGTTCAGATTTTATTTGAAATCTAATTCCAATTTTCAAAGCTACAAAAGGAGGGGAAGACATCTGTAATACTTTTCTAAGTCACAACATCCTAAAACAAAATACTACCACCAGCAGATCCATTATACACATTTCTGATGAAATTCTTTAACACAATAAAAATTTTTACCTTGAGAAACAGCCACAACAAAAGTAATTTGTACAATATAAAACAATGACGAGTCTAAAGATGCAGTTGCTCGTGAGTTTACACATGCATTCGCAAACAGACAAACAAACAAACAAAAAACCCCAGGAATGCTCTTTCATTTGTTTTTTTTGTTTGTTTTGTTTTTGTTAAAAACAGACTGTTCAGGCACAAAACAAAGTTGCGTTTCCAATAAGTGACAGCATCTTAAAAACATGTGAACACTATGTCAGTGTTTGTTTTTCTTTGACTTTTTATGAGACCTGTGTGGAGACCGGGACTGGGACCTGGATTTCTTCCCTGATTTTTTAGGTGATCTCGACCGAGATCGCCTAGACCTCTTAGGTGTCCTTGAACCAGATGGTGACCTGAGGAAACAAACAAAAAAACAAAAGACCATTTATTGAAGTATTCATACGATCACGACTGATTAGCCTTCAACTATCAAAAATGATATTAACCGAGCAAATTAAAAGGTAGTAAAGCAAGTGAGATTAAAGTATATTGTCTATTGCACATGCACACATGTGTATTTTTTACTTTTTTACTTACTATGAAGGCAGATTTCTGAGCCTTACTACTGATAGAGTGAATTATAAACTTGAGAAATACCAACTGGGATTTAACAAGCTCCCCAAGTGATGGATAACACTCCCAAATTTGAACCTCTAATCAGCAAGATAAAGTTCCAAAGTGGCATCTAAATTCATTCACAAAAGTTAAAACTCCTTTAATTCGATTCAAAGGTCTCATGGACAGCAGTGTTTTGTTAAGTACTGTTCATAAAGATGATCTCTTCAAAAATAGGAACTTTTCCCTGCCACCTAGTCAGTTCCAACTCATAGCAACCCTGCAAGACAAAGTACAACTGCCACTTGGGGTTTTCGAGGCTGTACATCTTTGAGAATAGAAAGCCTCTGCTTTCTTCTTTTGGGGCTGGGCTTACGCTGCTGACTTTGTGGTTAGCAGCCCAACATGTAACCCATTACATTAAATAGCAAGTGCCATTTAGAAAATGAGGAAGTTACTGTCTATTTGAGCCACAAAGAAAGTTTCTGGATAAGGCAATGTTAGCATTCAGGATAATTATTTAATACGAGAAATACAACATTTATGAAACACTTTTCTGGAACTACAAGGGAAAGGGTACATAAAATACTGTTACATACTGAAGAGGAGGTATTTATGGTATTTACTTCCACAAATCTCTGCCCATGAACTTGTTAACAAGATTGCTGTGGAGGGAAAAATTTATGTTTCTTTCAGTTTTAGAACAAAGAATAATCTATGGGAACTAAAGAGCAAAACGAAAAGTGAAGCAGCTAGCCCTGTGTTTCACAGGAAACACGATGTGATGCTAAAAATTCTTGTCTGGTCTTTTTTCTTACTGTTGGAAGCCTTCTTAGGTTTAATCATAAAAGAAAGTTGGCAGTGGGGGTGGGGGGTGATAATAGAGTGGGATAGTATGAAACAAAAGTATTTCTCTTTGTTTTTCAATCCTTTAAAGTAGTTATTTTCAAAAACTACTAGAATGACAAGAAGACTGACATCTGAGACATTAAAAGACATTAAAAGACGGCATGCATTTACCTTTTGGCCTTTTTGCTAACATCTCTGGGAGAATCTTTGTGAGATGACCTAGACCGTGAGCTCTCTTTGTGAGACCTTTCAGAACGCTCGGAACGCTCTGATTTTGGTGAGGGGGATTTCACTCGTCTACCACTGCTACTGCGAGATGGGCTGGGGGATGCACTGTGTCGCCTTTTCCTATGGAACAAAGCCCAACAATCAATTAAGTCAGCAAAGGATCAAGACTCACTTTTCTTTCCTAAATTAGCTACTAAGTCCTGCTAGTTTATATAAACTTTGTTTTCATTAACTTTATTGTTACTTCCAATTACATTCAAGTGTTTTCATACTATGAACAAACACATCTTTATTTAAATCTTTGGATTAGATAATAGCACAATAGAGCTTTAAACAGTTCATGTAAAAATGTAATTAAAAAATAGAATTTTTCCTACAAACTTAATGAAGCTCCTCGAATTATAAAATAACTTTTTGGTTTTGATATTTTTTTCTTATTATTGTGGTTATGAAGGCAAATTTGCTTTAGCAAATGACGATTAAAGTATTTAAGGGTAACATGGGTGAAGGGAGACAGCAGACAGTATAAAATAAGAAAATAAAAATAATTTATAAATTTATCAAAAGTTCACAAGGTTGGTAGAGTGGGGGAAGGAGGAGGAAAAAGGAGCTAATACCAAGGGCTAAGGTTTGGAAATGATGATGGCAAAATATGTACAACTGTGCTTGATACAATTGATGTACGGATTGTTTTAAAGTATTTAGGGATAATAAAATACATTTGCAAGTTATTCAAATGGCACAGAAAGAGGAGGAAAGGAAGGGAATGTTTTAACATCTGGGTAAAAGATATCTGGAAACTGTATTGCTCTTTAACTTCTCTTTAAATCTCAAGTTATGTAGAAATAAAAAAATTAAAGAAAAAAAATGTGACAAGTTTACCAGTTAGTAAAGCTGTCAAATGAGACTAATTCACAGGCAGTACATACAGATTTGATCTTTGGATTACGAACTAAATCCGAATTTTTGTCATTTGTAATCACTTGGTTTTTGTTGAAAGCTCAGCTGTGTTAAAGCAAATTCCTTTTCTAAATTAGAAATCGGACTTATGAAAGACAAAATAGAAACCGAAAGAGAAATACTTGTGATTAGAAGAAATACTTAGACGTGAGGAGGAGGGTCCCTATGGCCTCTGTCCCCTTTCAAGACAAGACTGAAAGAGCTAAGTGTTAACATACAGAGACTAGAACCAAGGCTTATATTGCAGGTAACAAGAAAGATCCAGCAAGCGGTGCTATTATTGAAGTCTGACGTTTGTTACCTAATGCTGTACCTGAAATCTCACGAGAAAATGTTTTTGTTTTTTTAAAGGCACCATATGAAATCCATAAAGCGTTAATGCTACCATTAATTAAAGCAAGAGCTAGCTAACTACCCCATTTCTCAGCTACTTCTGCCTCCTGCAGGCAAGAATAAATATTTTGCTCATGGAAAAATACTTTGCCAACTTGTTGGCATCGATCATAAAAATACCCCTCCCCGCGGCGCCCACCCCCACACATACATCAAGAGAACATTTCACATTGTACCTTTCTTTCCTCGTTGGAGTACACTCATCTTTTTCCTTCTTGTCTTTGGATCGTGATTCCAATTTTTCTTTATCCTTCTTGTCTCGTTCTCGTTCTCTTTCTAATTCCTTCTCTTTCTCCTGTTATTTTTTTTAAGGAAGAAAATTCTTAATTATTTGAAATACATCAATCAGTGTTAATTTCACAATATTTTCTCTTCCAGAGAACTATTTCTTTAAACTATTACTTATAGTAGGATATCATTTTTTACATTATCATTTCTTAAAAGTTTGTCTTCCTAGGAAAGCTAGTTATTTCTTCCACTTAATGAGTAATAGAGTAAAGATACCAATGATAGCAGAACATTCACTGAGTGCGTATCATGAACTAAGCAACACACCACACAGCTTTCCATATAGTAATTCATACAATCCCACATAACATGCTTAGGAGTAGTACACAGTTTTAGTCTCATTTTTGAGATAAGGTTGGACAATATACTCCTGGTCACACTGCAAGTGGTGAAGTCAAGATTTGTACCTAAGCTCTAGAGTCAGAAACCGTAAGCACTACCTATAGTGCCACTCTGCCCGCCTCAGAAATTAGCAAAATGAAACAATCCCCAAGCTTGGAACCAAGCTCATGCCTCTGGCTCCACTTTCAGACACACGAGAGACCTGTAAAGTGAAAAACAGCATCAGAGAGGCATATACTCCTTAATGAAATCTAGCCATCCCAGACTAAGGCGGCAGCATTTGCTCACAAATAAATCGTAGAAGACAGGAGGGGCAGAAAAATAGGAGAAATCAAACAGGAAACCTAGGGAATAAGTAGAGTAAGTGCTGCTATAATTCCGAACAATGTCATGAGACATAGTGTTGAATATAAAACTAGTTTGGTTAGTAAATTTTCTTCTCAACTACAACAACAACAACAACACAAACCCAAAGCAAAACTGAAAAACTGAAAGAAAAAAACAAACAGGTGGTCCCAAATTATGACTGAGATGTTCCTGTGTCTTCAAGGTGAATTTGTAAGTTAACTTGGAACAGGTGCCTATGATTCTTACTTATATTTGCTAAGATTTGCAGGCTCATTACGCATCGGGATTGACTTGAGTGGGTTTGGGTTTTATAGTTAAGAAAAGGTATGCGAGTCTTTTGAATGAATTAAAAGTTGCACATGCAGCAAGTGAGTTGGAGTTGGTTCAGTCATTTCAAAGTGAAGCCAAATTTACATAAACATTCTCTGGGGATCTTCTGTAATGCACTGACCTTTCCAGCACTGACTACAATAAAATATAAGGGGTGATTTTAATTTTAATAAGTTGTTGTAACCAAAGAGTTGTTTTAAATGGTCTAATATACACAATAATGTATCACCAAACTTTAATGAGATACAAGTAACAACTATACTGGCAATTTAAAATCCCAACTTATAAAAAATATACTGACTTCATGACTATAAAATTATATAACTACAAAAACGTATTTGTGCTCAACAGAGGCTATAACTGTCGATTGCCATTTAAAGTTCTGACTTTTACGGATATCTGTATTTTTAAGAGATAGCTACTATGAACTTTACTGATAGAAATCTAATTTTTTTAATGGCCTACATGGAGTTCCTAGGTAGTGCAAACAATTAATGCATCTGGCAACTAACAGAGGTTAGAAGTCTTTCCAGAGGTACCTCGGAAGAAAGGCCTGGTGACCTACTTACCAAACACCAGCCACTGAAAACCCTACTCAATTCTACTCTGCCTATGTATCAGAATCAACTCAAAGGCAACTTACTCATAATATGATCTACTGTGTATCATGAAAGACATAACTGACTCTTCTCATATTTGTGGGTTGGGGGAACCACTTTATTGCGATTTACCCCCTCAACGTAACAACACTCTTCCCACTTCCTCCCTAGCGTCTGTTTTAATTTGCCCATCTTACCTGCCCCTTCTTCCTTCTGAACTTTGTTGTTGGGCAAATGCAGCTTTTAGTTTTTTATGCTTGATTGTTCTCTGGAGTACCTGCCCCCCTAATGTTACAATTTTAATCATAGAAAGGAAGAAGTCTAACACGGTAAAACCTTATGGGCCTGTTTCACTTTATGAACTATAAATTAACTCCTGGGGGTAGGATCAGTTCCAGGCTCTATGGCAGGCGTCCTCAAACTAAGGCCCGTGGGCCACATGCGGCCTGCCGAGGACATTTATCGGGCCCGCCGGGCGTTTTTGCCCCGTTTTGTTTTTTACTTCAAAATAAGGTATGTGCAGTGTGCATAGGAATTTGTTCATAGTTTTTTTTAAACTATAGTCCGCCCCTCCAACAGGTCGGAGGGACAGTGAACTGGCCCCCTGCTTAAAAAGTTTGAGGACCCCTGCTTTAAGGGCTTACATCTTGGTGGTTACACTAGTCTGTAGCAGGTCAGTAAGTCTGGTCTTTTTTAGTTCCATGTTGTTTGCTCCTGCTCTGCCAAAGACCATCTATTCTAATCACAGTGCTCAGTAGTGCTACCTAGATGCCATCCAGTGTATTTGATTTTCTTCACAGGTCTTTGCTCTTAGATGGCTCTAAGTTTTAAAAAGAAGGAAAAAGACCTATACCAGAAGTCAGCCAAGTTTCATTATAAAGATCCAAGTAGCAATTATTTTGTCATTATTCAACTCTGCCATCATAGCCACTAAAGCTGCCACTAAGACAACACACAAATGAATGGAATGGGCAAGGCTGCGGTCCAAGAAACCTTTAGTTAAACGATTAGACAAGAGCCATACTTTGCTGACTCCTGGCAGGCACCTCCTCGCCAATTTCAATCATGGAAAGTAAGGAGACTAACATGGCAAAACATGTATAACTTGTTTTGAGATTGCTACCACCAGTAGGAGTGAATGTGTCCTTGACAACCTCAATCTTTCTGCATTTATCATGATGTTTATGTATTAGCCCAGTTGTGAAAATTTTGGTTTTCCTTACATTTAGCTATAATCCTCAATACTAAAGGATGCAATCCTTGATCTTCATCAACAACTGTTTTTCATTCTCATGTTCAGCAAACAAGGTTGTGTCATCTACTGTGGGTTGTTAATAACCCTTCCTCTAATCTACATGCCATATTCTTCTTCATATAATCCAGTTTCTCTGATTGTCTGCTCAGCAGAGTGAAAAAAGTATGGTGAGGATGCAAACCTGATACATACCTTTCCAGATTTTAAACCATGACGTATTCCCTTGTCCTATAATCACAGCTGCCTCTGGAGTCATACACGGGAGCCTCGCGAGACAATTACGTGTTCTAGAATTTTGACTCTTCTCTAAGCTAAGCAGATATTTATGATCCACAGTTGAATGTCTTTGTATAGTCAAAACACAAGTAACCATCTTTGTTACTCAGCCAAGATCAGATGTTAGCAATGAATAATATTCCTTGTCTGAATCTGACCTGCAGGCCCCTGTCAATAGACTGCTACAGCCTTTATGGGATTTATCTTCAGCAAGATTCTGCTTGCATGTATTATCAATACTGTTCTATAATGAGCATTCTCTTAGGTTAGCTTTCTTTGGATTGGGCACACATATGGACCTCTTCCAGTGAGTTGGCCAAATGACTGTATTCCAAATTTCCAGGCAGATAAGTGAGTGCTTCTTTCTATTGCTTTATCAGTTTGTTGAAATATTTCAATTGCTATTCCATCAATTTCTGGAGCCTTGTTTTTGGCCAATGCCTTCAGTGCACCTTCAACTTCTTCCTTCTCAGCATCATTGGGTATCATCCAGTTCTTTGTTACATTGTCTTTCTTCCATCTTCTCTTGATGCTTCCTACATCATTCAATATTTTGCCCATAGAATCTTTTAATATTATAACTCAAGGTGTGAAAATTTTTTGAGTTCTTTTCAGCTTAAGATATATTAACTGTTTAAGATATATTAACTGTATTCTTCCTTTAAGTTTTCTAACTTTAGGTCTTTGCACATTTCATTATAATGTTTTACTTTGCCTTCGCAAGCTGCCCTTTGAATTTTCTGTTAAGTTCATTGATTTCATTTCTTTCATGTGCCTTAACTCCTTTATGATTAAGAGCAAGTTTCAGTCTCTTCTGACATCCACTTTGATTTTTTTTTCTTTCATGTCTTTAATAAGCTTTTGCTTTCTTCATGTACGATCTTTGATGCCATCCCACAACTCATTAGGACTTCTACCATTAGTGTTCAATGTAACAAATCTGTTCTTGAGACGTTCTCAAAATTCAAGTGGGATGGTCAAGCTCGTATTTTGGTTTTTGTGAACTTGCTTTAATTTTCTTCAGCTTCAACATGACCTTACAGATAAGCAATTGATGGTGTGTTCCATAGTCAGCTACTGGTCTCATTTTAGATGCTGATAGCGAGCTTCTTCATTATCTCTTCCCATAGATACAGTCAGCTTAACTTCTCTGTATCCCTTCGGGAGAAGTCTACATGTATAGGTTGCCTTTTGTGTTGTTGAAAAAAAGGTAATTGCAATGAAGAAATCGGCCTCACGAAATTCTATCATGCAATCTCCAGCTTCATCTCTATCACCATGGCCATACTTTCAAACAACTGTTCGTTCCTATGTTTCCATTTTTGGGAATTCCAAGCACCAATAATTATCCATGCATCTTGATTGCATGTTTGATCAATTTCATATTGAAAATATTGGCAGAATTCTTCAATTTTTTCATCATAGCTTTAGTGGTTGATGCATAAAGTTGAGTAACAGTTGTATTGACTGGATTTCCTTAATGGGGATAGATACCCTGTCACAGCACTGTACTTCTAGATCTCAAAACTTCATTTTAACTATGACTGCAACACCATTCCTCTTGATTGTGTCATTCCCAGCATAGCAAACCATGATTTTCTGATTCAAAATAGACAATATCAGACCTCAATGAGGCCTAGAACGTCAATCTTTGTGCGTTGTATTTCCTTTCTTGACACCTTCCAATTTCCCCTAGATTCATATTTTGTACATTCCAAGTTCCAATTATTATTGATGTTTACAGCTCTGTCTTCTCATTTTAAGTCATGCCCAGTCCCAAAGGGTTTACTCCTGCAGGCTTTACTACGTCCATGTCATTTTGGCCAACTCTACTTTGAGAAGGCAGTTCTGACACTATCTCTGACAATGTTCTGCTTCTAATCATGAGCTTTTCGGTATGTGACAATGTTTCGATGCTATCCATAGCTTTCCAGTGGCTAATTTCTCTTTAATGGATAGCCTATTTCTTCTTCAGTCTGTTCTAGTCTGGAATCTCCACTGAAACTTCTTCATTTTAGATAACCTGCTGTTATCTGATATACCAGTGATATAATCCTGGCATTACAGCAACACACAAGCCACTACAGAACAACAAACTGACGGACAAATGGTCGCACAATAAAATAGTATGCTGCTATTATCATAGGGCTCCTTTTCCAAGTTAAACTATTTTTAATAATATCTCATTTCGAATGCTCCTAAGTATATGTCAACAGTAAGCACTTAGACATCAAGCATTATCATGTGAAATCCACTTTTACTGGAGGACAGACATCAATACTGCAGGCATTTAGCAAGTAATTTTGCAAATTATGCACTATTTAGTATACTTATTCCTTACTCGTTGAAGAAGTTTATCTCTGTAGTGTTCTACTTGCTCCTGAAAGCTCTGGCCTGGTTTTTTAGGTCTTTTCCCAGATTCCAATTCATCTTGAAACTTCATAACTTTGAGCTGTAAAATAAGTATCATCATCATTATAACAACCAAGAAAGTCACATTAAAGCCTGCTTTAAAACAAAAAAACCCTTTCCTTCAGAATATCTGTGTAAAATCGAAGAACCTAAATATAAAGCAGTAACAGATGAGAATCCTCAGTAAAATCATCAACGACCAAAAAACTCCTGTATTGGGCACCCACATATTTGACATGCGGACTATGCAGAACTCAAGTGATTGTGAACCCACATGCTCTCTGCACAAATATCTAAAGCAGTTCAAAAACCATGACCAATCAAAATTTAGTTCTCCAAATTAGACAAGGTGGCTAACGTGTGGGGGGAGGTCAGATGTGCAGGCATTCCCTCCCCTGAAGGCAATCAGTTGCCAGACTGCTGTCTCATCCCAACGCAGGGGTGGGCCTGCTCCCTGCCTCTGGGGACAATGGACAGGCTCCTGCAGGAGGAGTTTTCACCCTACTGATAATGATTCCTATGGAGACCCAGAGACCAACCCCTAGACCACCCTCTCATTGCTGTGTAACCTATAGTGCAGCTCCTCCCTGTAATGTATGTCTCTACCTGTAATTAGTGGGCTGGCTTGCCCCCAAAAGGTATATAGGTGTGAGTCAGCAATATAGATCTCTCTCTGACCTCCTTGCTGCTTACTCCCTGGTCACTCCCCTCTCTTCCCCCTCTCCCTTGTTCCCTTGCTCTCTAATATCTCTCATGCTCTCGATGACTTTAATACTTAAATATCTCAACCGTACAATTGTGCATTACTGAACCCAGAAGTAGCACCCCACTCCCCCGTGCCATTTTTAATTTAATACTACACTAACAGCATGTTATTAGGGAGTTTTAACGGCCAGAAAAAAGGAAAGAAGACAAATAGCTTAATTAATTAAGGTAGCATTCTGATCACAGCCCGTGTAGGACCAAGCACAAACCCGAAATCTGAAGGGTTCACTGTGCAGCAGTGTTTTACATGCAGGGCTGTGAGGTTCTAAAGTTTCTTCTTTGAAAACTCAGAATCTTTGCAATTTTGCTTATAGAAAATTACTTTTATAAAAGATAGTAAGTTGAGAAACGATGTACAAATGCGCTTTACACAATTGATGTGTGTATGGATTGGGATAACAGTTGTATGAGCCCCTAATAAAATGTTAAAAAACAAACAAATAAATAAATAAAAGATAGTAAGATTTAAGGGTGAGGGAGGAAAAACATTTCAATACTTAATTTACCACTGTGTGAAGCCTCTCATGACCAAGCTGACCCTCTTCTATAGAACATGTATTTGTAGAAAATCAGCTTAAGAATTAAGCATCAGAGTCAAACAATAAATCTAAATGTTACTTGAGGAAAGGACACATTTTTAAAAGCATTCTTTAAAATAAAAACTCCCTAGCTACAGTTTCTGCTGATATAATCTAATGCGGGCCACCAACTCAAGAAGCAACAGTTTCCCGGCACTCTGGATCAAGAGTCAAGGTAGCATCTTCCCACACGACTGTTCAGTTTTCACTGGAGCCAGGGCAAATGGGATCTTTCTCGTAAACAACACAAGACACTCTACCTGGCTCCCTGCCTTACTGCTCCGCTCTTCAACCCCTTTCATAAGACTAATAGAAAAGGAAAGCTTATTAGTGCTCTCTTGTACTGCAATATCATATAGCTAAAATTTTTCTAAGTACCTTGTGGGGAATGTTAACATCTCAAAATGTTAATCCAATGGTTTTTATTAATCCATGCTGAAAATATTGAGCTACTGGCACTTTAATAGGACACACATATATTGTTTATTATCAGGTGCTGTCAAGTTGATTTCAACTCACAGTTGACCCAAGTATATAACAAAACTACAGTCACTAATTTAGAATGTCATTCTTTATTTAATGACTCTTAAGTAAGAGGTTTAGTATTCATTAGTTTCTAAATACACATGCATATTTAGGGGCAGAAAAGATGGGAGAGAAAACCTAAACCACTGCACTAAAAGTCATGATTTCACAATTGTTACCAAATGTGGAACTTTATTTTACATGACCACATCTCTCAGAATAAATAAAGGGGGGCATATTATATAGACAAAGCCAATCTACATTTCATAATTAGAGTCCAATCCCAGTAGGTTGTTAAAGGTAGGTAATTTGAGAGGAGAAGCAATTACCAAATATGTGCAGACATCAGCTTATGAAAGAACACATGCTTTTTGGAAAGGTACACATATGAGATCAGTATGAGCACCCATGTAACATACATAGAGAACACAATCAGGTTCATTAAAATGACCCGAGTAGACAACATAAAAGTAAATTAGTTGGTTTTCTTCTTTTAGCCCTTGCCCCTCAAAAGTCATTTAAAAGTGAACGAACAGTTTACTTTTGGATTTATTAAGGAATTATTTCAGTTATCCAGAAAGTAATTTTTATGAAACTCAGTCTTTGTTTCCACTCCATTTCCATCAACTCAGTAAGGTAGGCAGGAGTGCTGAGAGTTGAGGAAGCTTGAAAGGGGCTCAGAGACGAATGCGGTTCACTGATAAAGGAGGATAAGTAAAAAAGTACTGCTATAAACCACCAAAACCTTTGTTAAATTTAACAACAAGACTGTGAAGCTACTCATTCTCAACATGCCCGCCTCTCCATCTGGGACTACATACTGCTGATGGAGTTTCCATCTCTTGAACCTTCCTAGAAGAACTCTGTACTCAATTTACACGCATCAAAATGGCGGTTTGTGTATCAAAGATCTTAAATGTTCCTGGAGTCTGGGGAGCAAACAGTCTGAAGGGGTGAAATCTGGGCTACAGAATGGATAGAGAGTAAGGTTTCCCAATGAAATACCCAGGTGACAGCCCTTGTTAACCTAGAAGAATGAATAGCTGCATTGCTGGAATGGAAAAACATCGTTGGCACAACTTTTCTGGTCTTTTCTCATCAAGGCAGCCCTCAATTTCCTTAAAACTTTGTAATATGCCCCCTGATCATCCTATCAAGAAAAACGTGCCTCGAACTGAACTGGTCCAGCAGATCCCCCCAGAATCCAGTTGTGACTGGACCCTTTCTTTTGAAGGCACCATAACAAGATGTGTGGGGCTGCCAACCACAGGTCAGCAGTTCTGAAACCACCAGCCACTCGGGAAGAAGAGACGCTTTCTACTCCCGTAAAGATTTACAGTCCTGGAAACCCACAGATGCAGATCTACTCTGTCCTGTACGGTCATCTGTATGATGACACGAGTAACAAGAGTAAGTATATTACTGTGAAAACCTGTCTGTAGCCACCTAGTTACCTCAGAGACATATTTACATATGCTTTGTTTGGTAAACTCACCCATGCACAAACTGGGACCCTAGTAGCAATACGTTTTTACTGGCCCCAGTACAGCAACCTGTTCCCTTACAAACTTTAAATAAAGATGTTGGTTTTGCTGTTCCTGAGACAAAGTGACTATCAAAATATAATTGACAAGTATAAAATTTAAAGAAAAACTGTTTTTAAAAACCTATGCCTAAATCTAACTGTAAATAAAATATGCATTTTGTTTAATCCTTCTGAGTCTCACTAATCTGTTTCCCACTTTTTACAAGTATTTTAATGGACAGAAACATAGGTATTATAAACATGTTTCCCTATCTCTTTAAGAAAAAGGTACTTTATGGTGTTTACTTGAGAAACAATTATCTTTTCAGCCACATTGTTAAGGGGTAATTTCCAATGAATGTTTAATTACTAAGAATATGTCTCAGGTTAAAAAGAAATGAATCAACTTATTTCTTGTCCCTACTTAATAGTTTATTCTGCCTGCAAAGAGTTAAAACACAATGCTTTCTCTACTAGCTTTAACAAGTTTTTGACTGGTTAATAGCTGAGGAAAAGTAAGAAAGCACTTGTGCCAGCCCAAGAGTACCTATATGGGGAAATGGAAATGAGGTAACTAATCAAGTAGATGTAAGTTGGTAGTGGAATAACACGGACCCATAGCATGCATTCAAAAGTACCTAAGTGAACAGACAGTATATTAAAATGCACTCACTTGTTTACTTCTCAGGTTTTAGATTGTTTCTGTTTTGCTAGCCGTTACTGGGAATGTTATAACATCTTGGAGGAAGGGCAGGGAGGGCTCCCATTGTAAAATGGTTCCCTCTCTTTCTGAATAGCCTTTGGTGAACAAGTCCAACAAAGAGGAAAAGGGGCAGGAGCTTGCCTGAGATAGTTTGGGCTCTATTAGTCCTCCACCCCTATTCTTTATACCAGGCCCATCTCACTCTCCAATCACAAAGGAAAATGATATTTTAACTAAGCCTGTAATTTACTGCATTTACAAAACTTGAAATGTGCCAGAAAGTAATTTTACCTTCTCCTAGGACAGATCCAACCCTCCAATGTCTTACTCAGCAGCCAAGCCAGTCAACTGTGTTCAACACTCAGGGGCTGGCTCCACTGAGTATAGTAAGTATTTACAGATAATCTATTCATTAGAGTCAGTTTTACTACTTCAAAATAGACTTAGGCAGTTTCAACTTTCATTAATGCATACACTAGAGAATCTCTAATGTGCTTGGAGTGGCACCAATGAATAGAAAACAGACAAGGTCCTTTTTCCCACATGGAAATCACAGCATAATTGGTAAAGCAGATGGTACCTTTAAATACCATATGTCCGCAAGTGAGTGTCTCCATTACATAACACATGTAAAATAAGAGATAAACTGGGAGATTTGACCATGTCCAATAGGGTAAGAAAACACTTTCAAGGAAGGGATGCTTGAGATGCAAGGCCTGAAGTGTGAGTCAAGACTTCACACTCGCTAGCCATGAAGGTTTTCAGGCACTGGTAAAGAAGTTCTGGTAGTGTGAGTGGTTGAACACACGACTACGAACTAAAATGTTGGTAGTTAGCACCCACCCCGAAGCATCTCAGAAGACAGCTTGGGAGGCAGTCTGCTTGCTACAGGTCATAGCCTTGGAAACCCCAAGGGATTTATCTACTCTGCAAGCAAGATGGAAGTGTCACAAGTTGGAATCGACTGACAGCAACGAACAAAAGGCAGAGGGAGGGAATGGTATATGCAGGAAGGTATGATGCCAAGAAGGAGCCTGAATTGGTGGCAGAAATGAAAGCCGTCTGGGAATGCAGGTGAAATGTCACTGCAATACTAACCTCAATTTCCCGGAGTTTAGCTCGTTTTTCCTCACTCATTTCAGAGTACTTAGAGAACTTAGACTCTGTCATTTCTTCTTTAATGGGATTTAAGTACAAATGATGCTCTTCAGATTTGGAACTTTGAGTATCATCTTCATCTTCACTGTCCTCTTCTTGACTTTGGGAATAAGCACAACATATCCGATGTCAAGGCAGCAAAAAGAAGTCCTAAGGTCTTATATTCTAAATACTTTACTTTTCATGGCCGTAATGTGAGACAGAATAAGATAAACACTTATTTTACAAGATATTTTATCAAATCTTACTTTGCAAAAAAAAAAAAAAAAAGGCTGAGCTTCTATACAATGATCTCATAAAAGGCTAAAGTTTAAAAAGTCAAATGACTGCCATCCCTTCGGCAGAGCCTATCAGCTAGAAAAGACTTACATGTGAATCACAGATTACTATGACATGATCAATGCCACACTTACCTGATTAGTATTTAAGTCTAGAATAAAGCAGGGATATAAGTTCTAAATATTTGCAATACTAGTATTTGTGTTGCTCTGACTAAAAATATTTATTAGTTCTAGGTCAGACAAAAAGAAGAGAAAGTAGAGTGGCTGCCATGGAAGTCCCTTGAAATTCAAGAGTAAAAATATTCCCTTGTACTTCAGAAACACTGTACTGGAAACAGAAAAGCAGGCAGGCAACTATGTATCCAAGCTCGGATGAGCTATTACAGCATTAACAAAACGGTCTTAAAGTACAAAGAATGAAGATATTCTGAGACTGAACTGTGTGTGCCTAATTGGTATTGGCAAATAAGCCTGGGCAAAGCGAAAGACATCCATGAGCAAATATGCTTACACGTTTGTGTTATCATAAACAAAATTACTTCCTAACAATACCAATTATAACGTTAGCATTATTGGTAAAGACTATAAAGCATGCCCCACTTTCTTTAACATTTACCCTTAATAAGAGCTTAAATATTGATATTTGGTTAGTAAATGCATCTGACACTAAGAGTTCCTTTAGTAGACATTTAAGATTACTCATATCACTATAAAGTATTTCCACATGACCAAATTCTTTCCAAATAACAATCAGTTTTAAAGAATACGGTAAATACACATTCTGAAAGTAAGTTTTAAGCTAGGCAGATAAAACAAAGTGCTAGAAACAGAGTAAGATAGATACTGAGAAGACTAAGCTATTAGATTTTGAATTTCTCATAAAAATGTCCTTTCAAGAACATTATTACAGTGCTTTTTACAAACTTCATACTCAGAGGCTCACAATCATTTATGCCACATATAGTTACAACTCAATACCACATTTTGGTGAGGAAGAAAAACATCCACACCAACCTTGAAAAGAATAATAAAAACAATGTCCTTTTAGAAATTAAATTAAAAGTTTTTAAATTTTAAAAACTCATTTCTTCTTGGTACATAAAATTCTTCAAGTGTTTTATATACTTTTAAGTTAAAATATGTATACAAAGAGAGCTTCAAAGAGTTGGGAGGGGGGAATTAAAAGCTGGATAAAATTTTCCCAAGAACTTTCAAAGCTCCCTCGTACATATTTATGTGTCTATGTAAATAAGGATAGTTAGAGTTATTCTGGAATAAGGTCCTAAAGTCATTAAACTGCTATCCATACGATGAAAACTACTTAACTAGTTCTAGCCTGTTATTTATATTTCCTTTTTTTAAACTTCAAATACAGTCCTAATCCTTATACATTTATCTGAATGACTTTCAATCAGAGATAAATGTATCTGAGAGCAGATAATATATGGATTGACATGAAACATACCTACTAACAAATGAGTGGAAACTACCAATAGTCTTTTCAATATGTAATTTATGTTTCAGTTATTCATATTTACATTTGGATAGAATAAATCTAGAAAGCTAGGCTTCCAAGATCAGATGAATGTTATTTAAAATGTTTTAAATAAGTGGTATTTTAATAATTAGAAATATATCAGGAAGCTTCAAAAAGTTCAATGAAAACAAAAACGGAATTAAAAGACTGGAACTTTTCCAATAACTTTTTGAAGCTCCCTTGTATTTTATGGTCCCTGTTACAATTCTTCAAGGCTTATTAAGCAATCTGCTCAGGCTTTACCTAGTTAACAGCTCTAAAAACAAATCACATCACAGTTGCTTCTTGAAACGAATGGAAATTCAAAGCTCTAAAACCATACAGGTTCATTCCAAAGAAACGTTAATATTTTAGACATTTTGTCCATGGTGTTAGTGGTGCTTTAAAAAAAGAGATCACATTTTGCCAGGAATGCAAAAATGTCCGTATGACAAGTCACTCTGTATAAAAGGCATTTTAGATCTATCCACTAAAGTAGTAGTGAGGCATAACACATAAGACAATGCTAAAGATCAGTGTGTTCTAAGTGAAGTATTTTGCCTTTACTTTCTTTTACATGCTATCTCTACGAGTGGCAAATTCAGAGATTCGGCCATTTTATTCAAATCAAAACTTCAAGGTAGTACAGACTTGTGTTAATTTACATAAATAAAGCAATTACTTGTTTTTTTTCTAGTATCATTACTGAATTAAATGGAGCTTTTCCTTTTTTTCCTTTTTCTTTCTTTCCATCTGGGCCACTTCTTTTCAGCACCATCACCTATCTGTGTTTAAAGTTCAAATTCCTTCTTTTAACAATCCAACTTTATGTTGTTATAGTTTCTCTAGAGTTCTTAAAAATTAAAGGATATCTCTGGTGATTATGCCTCACTCCTCACTGTATCAATGCACTGATTATTCCAATGTCAAATACTCAAATACATTCATACTCAACATAATAGACTAAAATTTATTCAAGAAAAAGTTGCAAAGTCAACTAAATATTCAAAGTTCTACAATGGAAATTTATAAGTAATGTTTTAAAAAATACCCTTGCTTTCGCCCTAATTATATAATAATCAAAGTAATTCTAAATTGGTGACAGATGTTAATGACAAGCTCATGGACCTAAAATTTTGAGGGGGGAAAAAAACCCACCACCACCACCATTGGGGAGATGGAACGGGACATTCCTTTAAAGCAAATTGAAATAATCTGTTCCCAATTCCTACACAGCCTCCGCGCAGCCTCTATGAAGCCACATCTACATTTTGCAAATATTTTTACCTAATCATCGCTAAGTTGTTCCAATCACACCAACACCTCTGGAATGACATGTTTGTTGCCAGGTTTTCCTCATCCCATCACATAGTAGCTCCACAAACTATGGATCAACACATTTCCTCAACAATGTGAATGCTGGTGATGACCACTCTTATGAAATCCACAAAAACACCCAAAACGCACTGGCATTTCACTGTGTTCATTCTTTCGTTTGAAAATAAAAGAACACCGACAGGTATCTACTACTTCTCTGGAGATGAACAGAAATAGGTTTTGTGCTCTTGACACCATCTCCTTTCCAATTTAAAAAGTAACTGCCTTTGCAAAGATTTTCCTAGTGTCAGTACTTATTAAAAACTACCAATAGCCCAGTAAAACGATTTTTTTAAAAAAAACCCAAAAAAACTACCAATACAAACTTGCAAGAAAACATAGAAACAGAAATTCCTGAAATCACTGAGTGCTATATGAAAAAGCAATTTTTGGAGAATTTTAATAAAGCAAAATTATAATTTCTCTACACCAAGTTCAAACCTTCAAGAAGAGTCCGAGGCTGTCTGCACCTGTGAAGATTTACTCTCAGAAACCTGTTCTACTCTGTCTATAAGGCCACTAAGAGTCAGCACCAACTTGATAGCAGTGGATTTTTAAAAGGTTTTTCTCTTATTATTAATTCATCCAAAAATACTTTTACATACAAATAGAATGGTCTTAATACAATATTTTTCTTAGTAATATAAACTCCAAAAGAAGCAAAATCTTCCCACATCTTAAAAATCACCTTCGCAGTGCTCAAAACAATATTTGATAACAAAGATTTGAAACACTTGCAGTTAATCAATTGGAAACTACAGAGTGAGAATGCATACCCTAGCACAATGGTTCTCAATCTTCCTAATGCCGAGACCCTTTAATACAGTTCCTCATGTTGTGGTGACGCCCCTTCCCCCGCCCCGACACAAAATTATTTTCAATGCTACTTCATAACTGTAATTTTGCTACTGTTATGACTCGAGCGACCCCTGTGAAAGGGTCATTCGACCTTTGGCTGAGAGCCTATCCTCCCTCCCTTGCCCTCTTCCTTTTGGCATGGAAAGCTTGATCAAGGTGAAATCAGGCGCACCAAGACTAGCAACCAACAGCTAGAAAATATGGGGAACTAAAACGGATCCTCTTACAAGGTTTTATAAAGAGTGAAGTTTTCCACTTCACAATTATTTCACCCATACCCCTTAATGAAAGTTTATGTAAACAAAGAGTTGAGTACATTAAAGCCTAGATTCTTACTTTTGATTTTCCTCTTCTTCTGATTCTTCATGCTGGTCAAATAACTCCCACTTAGAAGTTGTTACAGCTGAATGAAAGGGGAAAAGGGATGTAATTCCATAAGCTAAATTAGCATTTTTACAATAGCATAGAAGCAGCTGCTTCAAAGTGAATGTTTATATTACAGGTTTATCTACATATATCTAGTCTTTCATTAGCCATTTCTATCTGCTATAAAAATCTACTTTTTCACACCTATACTATTATTCAAATGCCATAAGTGCCAAATAAAACTATCTCCCTCGCTTCTGTGCTAGCTGGAGAGTTTTATGTAATTACAAGCTCTGTAAGTATTAACAATTATAGGTTATAAACATAGGATACTTATTCAAATAAGCAAGCTATCTGAGGTGGTTGACATATGCTTTATCTAGTAAGTCAGGCACGTGAGAGTAAAAGCTTCGCTTCCCTAAAAATGACCTCTAAGTAGATTTCCAAATAGGTACTTTCTCTAGTGTACAGTTTAGACCGAAATGCCTTACGGTTTCTAGTAATTTCTGATTACTCATGTAAACATCCAAACTGAAGGCTGTAAAAAAATTAAAACAGCCAGAATAAAGTTTAGTCACCAGATATAAAATATAACAAAACAAAAAAAATTTTTAAAATATATATATAACAAAACAAGTTCTTAAAGGTTCAAACATGTTATAAAATATGGGAGGGAAAAAAAAATATGGGAGGGAAACACAAAAAAAATTAGTTCAATCGTTATTTGCAGACAACATGACTGTACAATGAAAATCCCAAAAGCTCCCAACAGGAGTAGAGAGCGATAGAGGAATATGGAACAGATACAAGATCAACAAAGAGAAGTCTGTTGGTTTGCTAAATAGCAAGAACAAATTGAAATAACGAAGAATATATTTAACCAAAAAAACAAAAGACTTAAACAAGGAAAACTACAAGACCCTACTACAGAAAACCAGAAGCTACCTCCACAAATAGAACAGCCTATGCTCCTAGATTAGAAGATTCAATATAGTAAAGATGACAATCTTAACCAAGGCATTTTATAAGCTTAATGCTATCCCGGTTCAAATAACGACAGCCTTCTTCAAAGAATTGGAAAAACTGACTATCAATTTCATATGGAGAGGGAAGAAGCACAAAATTAGCAGAGTACTCCTCAAGAAGAAGGACACAGTCAGAGGGGTGACTTTTATTACCCGACTTTAACACATACTACACAGCCACAGTGGTCAAAACAGCGTGGTACTGGCATAATGACAAATACTCAAACCAACGGAAAGAGAACAGAAAACACAGAAATAAAACCATCAGCATACATACAATTGATCTTCGACAAGAGCCCCAAAAGCATCAACTGGAGGCGGATGCCCTCTTTAACAAGTGGTGCAGGAAACAATGGATATCCACATGTAGAAAAGTGAAACAAGATGTTTACCTCACCCCATGCACAAGAACAAATTTGTGGATCACAGACCTAAAAGTAAACTCCCAAACTATCAGGACCTTCCAATGAAGGAATCGGGACAAACCTAAGAACGTTGACCCAGGGAACATAGGCTAAATGCAATAGGGAAGGGCACACACTGGTGAACCTAAAATCAACAAGTGGGGTTTACTAAGGATAAAACACCTGTGTGCTGCGAAAGACTTCACTAAGAGGGTAACAAGGCAACCCAGACTGGGGGAGGATTTTTAGCAATGACAGAACAAAGATTTGATTACTAAAATCTGCCACACCCTCCTGGCCTGCAAAAAGAGGAAACCATTCACCCCCTGAGGAAGTGGGCAAAAGAAATGAAAAAAAGTTTCACTATTGAGGAGTCTTGTGTGGCCAATAGACATGAGAAAATGCTCCCGATCATTAGCCATTAGAGAAATGAAAATTAAAACCACCATGAGACACCATCTAATACCCTTGAGGAGAGCCCAAAGGAGAAAATACGAGAACAACTGTTGGATGGGATGTGGCGAGATAGAAACTCTCCTCCACCGCTGGTGGTAGTGTAGATATGTACAGCCTCTGTGAAAGCAATCTGGCGATATTTAAAGAAAATGGAGAGCTATCTACCTTATGACCCAGCTATCCCTATATAGGACATATACCCAGAAGAGGTAAGAAATAAGACACAACCAGTCGTCTGCACTCCAATGTTTATTGTGGCACAATTCACAATCGCAAAGAGTTGGAAACAACTTAAATTTCCATCAATAGATAAGTAGATTAGTAAATCCTGACACACACATACACACAATGGAGTACTATGCATCACTAAAAAGCACTGATGATCACATGAAACAAGTCACTCCGTGGTGAGTTGGGAAGAAATTATACTAAGCGAAGTCCGCCAACCACAAAAGGACAAGTATAACATGAGTCCCCTGAGATACGTATAATCAGCACAGTACGTATACAAGAAAAGCCACTTAGCTCACAATATACGGATTGAGGTACAGGCAGTCAGGTGGAGGTCAGACTAAACCCAAGGAGGTACATGTTAATCCAAAACAAAGAAGAAAAAAGGGGGAGAGGGGAAAGGTGAAAAGGGGGTCACATGAAAGTGAGATGATGGCATGGGGGAAGCAGGGCACTAACCCACCCAGGGGGAGAGTATTGGTTATGTCTCCACAGAATTGGGAGCGTGCATGCAGACCCCACCACGGCGCACCAAACCATGAGGGCAATGTAACCACGTGGAGGAAGACATGAAAAGACTGGGCTACAGGGCCGGCCCCAACCAGAGCCAAACTGACCCCCTAAAAGTATGTGCAACAGAGAACAACACTAAGCCTACAGGTTGGGAAGAGGGCCGGCATACCACGCCCAAATGGAAGCGAACCATGAAGTAAAAAGAGAAAGGGAGCATAACAGATCAGCAACTGGAGCAAAGCAAAGAAGCTACAATGCCCCTAAAGAGCCCCCAAAATAGACTTCAGGCTAGGGGAGGCAGCTCCTGGAATTCCCCCAGGACCAGTGGGGAGATAGTCATAAAGATCAGTGGACAAACCTGGAATTATATGATTTTTCTCTTCTTTGTCTTTTTTTCCTTTTCTTTTTTCAATCTTTTGTTTTCTTTTCGTTTGGTCTATGCCACTCTTGGTTTGCCTACTTATATAAGACAGGCATGGGAAGCAAGCTTGAGGCGAAAGCAATGGGACCAACGGTTCCGAGGGACTTGGGGGAGAAGGTGGCAGGGGGAAGGCGTGGTGAGCAAACACCACAGACGGGAACAACTAGGGAATTAAAATCAACAAAGAGGATGTAGAGATCCTGTGGGTGTTTGAGCAATAGCAATCTAGCTGAGAGGAAGTACTAAGAGGTAGAAGAAGGGTGAGCGTGATAGTGGGGCAGGAGGAAAGAAAAAGTAAACAGAGGAAAGAGCTAGAAAGCAAAGCTATAGATAGAGGTATACGCATAGGTGTATTATACATATGGAAATACATTAATGCATAAAAAGGTTTGGCCTATGTACATATAATTATATGGCAATACACTAAGGTAGTAGACAGACTTTGGGCCTCTGCTCATACCCTCAATACAAAAACACTTTGTGTTTTGTATTCTGTGATGCTCACCCTCCCGGCACAATTGCTGAAGAAAAAAATGGGTGTATAAGCAAATGTGCTGACGAAAATGCATGGTGCCTGGCTATTAAAAGAAAAAGCGCCTGGAGTCTTAAAAGGCTTGAAGTTAAACAAGCAGCCATTCAGCAGAGAAGCAACAAGCCCACATGGAAGCACACCAGTTAGTGCGATCATGAAGTGTCATTGGGACCAGGTAACAGGATCAGAAGACTCAAAACAAACAAACAAACAAAAACATATCGTTGAGAACGAGGGTGATTGGAGTAGAGCTCCAAAGTCCATCTGTAGACAATGGAACATCCCTCCAGAGGGGCCACAGCGAAGGGATGAGTCAACCAGGGAGCAGTAAAGCACCAAAGAAACACACAATATTCCTCTGTTTCCTTGAAGCTTCCTCACCCCCCACTATCATGATCCTAGTGCTGCCTCTCACTTCAAACTTACCGAAGCATGTACACAGATATAGATAAGAGATCAGAGCTCACTACACACGGAATCCAGAAACAGAAATGGGAATAGCAATACCGGAAGGGGCGAAAAAGGGAACCAAGTGCAATGATCAACACATAACCACACACCCCTCCAGGTGAAAGAACAACAGAACCCATAGGGGCAGGGAGACAGTGGTCAGTGTGAAAGATGAAAATAATAATAATTTATAATCTTATGGGGTCACGAGGGTGGGGGGAGGAGGTAAGAGAGGGGAAAAAAGAGGAGCTGATACCAAGGGATCAAGACTGTCTAGAAAAAATGATGGCAACATATGTACAAATATGCCTCATACAATTGATGTATGGACTGTAATGAGTTGTAAGCACCTGCAATCAAATTAAAAAGCACCTCCAATTTAATTTAAAATTAATTTAATTTAGTTCTAAGTACTTGATTTTGAATCTCAGTATTTATTTTACTTTCACACTCACCCTGTGCTTCCAATTCCGATTCATCTACAGCTTCCCACTTGGATGGGGCAACTTTAAATATAGGCTCATTTTTCTTTGAATCTTCAGTCACGTCCACTATTGGGGAAAGGTGCAACATTAATTTTGACTATTATAGGTTGACCCAAAGAAATGGGTTCTCTGGTGTCAGTGATAATTACTAAAAAGTAATGTAAAATAAGGCCATGCATGGACTAATAATGAAAATATCAAGAAAAAGTATGACTAATTCAATTCTATGCGTCTTAAATCTAATTTCAAGATATTATCAACTCAGAAAATAGAAATTATTAATATTCTAAACACTGGATATGTTGAGGAAGTTAAACTATTTTAAACTTATATTGCCTACTATTTTAATATATAATTCAAATGTACTTAAGATTGTATGTACTTATTTCCAAATATTATTTCAGGCAGTTAGTAAAACTTGAGTTACCTAGAATAAAAAAGCAGAACTGATAAAACCAGGCCCTGGAATAGTAAACTTAACTAACCATAATATTTAGCTCATAGTATCCTGATAATTAAGCAACAAAAAAAAAAAGAGAGAGAGAAACTTGTAAGTAAATGAAGCAACTACCCCAACACAAAAAAAATGATAAAAAACAAAACAAAAAACTTTTTCTTGGGACTTTCAAACATAAGCATATTACTACTGGATATTTGAAATATGAAAGATAAAAGAAAAACCATTAGTGACTTGCTATATCTTCTTAATCAGAAAGTATAACCTTCTCCCATATCATAGTGTGTGGAGATTAAGTTCTGGTAATCAAACTTAGTAAGCAAAATTACTATTAGATATAATCAGTTTGAAACTTGAACTTACAAGGTACTCCATCAAGATCATCATCAAGAGTCTTTATAGGAACTCCATCAAGATCATCGATGGGTGTAGTATCAATAGGAATTCCATCCACATCTTCAAGAGGTGCACCATCTAGTTCTTCCTCAATGGGGGCACCATCTAGATCATCTGGTACATCCTACAGAGATGCATATTATGGTAACATTTCCTTTGCTTGTTAAAGTCATTGCTACAGTATTAATTTGTAATCCAACAAAAGCTGACCAATTGAATGAATACCTACCATTATCCTCAAGAACAATGTGAAGAAATAAATATGTTTTATCATCTACAGAAGTCATAATTCATGCATTTGTTCATCAATTTTTTACCCTGTGCTTATTGGTGCCAGATAACATTAGAGGTACTGAAGATTCAATGAGCATACACTAGTTTGGTCCTTTTTGTCATCAAGACCTTAGTATAGTTTTATTTTTGTAGGAAGAGGCAAGCATATAGAAACTATGATAACTTCTACAGCCAACAGGCACATCACACTATAAAACAGGCTTCCCCTAGAAAGGTTAGAGAAGGTCCTGTGTTCTCAGCAAAGATCTGAAGGACCCTAGGTAAAGAGAAATTCCAGAATGAGCATGTCAAAATGCTGACGCCAAGAGGGAACAGGGAACATTTAAGAAACTAAAACTAGGACAGGAGTAAAAGAATCTATAGCAAAGGACATTGATTACCATATAAATGAACTCTATAACAAGAAAGAAACGGAAGCAACTGACATATTTTGAGCAATAGGAACAAAATCAGATTTCATTCACAAAATAAAAATAAAGATTAAAAAAAGTATTCGTTAGAGTAAGAATGGACTGGAAGTGAACAAAAGTAGAGACCAAGAGACCAATTACGAGGTTCTTGCATGAGTGACCTAAAGAATGATAGCTAACCAAGGCAGAAGCAGAGGTGGACAAGATTGATTCACAAGTGTTTAGCAGTAGAACGGTGATGAAGAAAATCTACCATTGTGGTCCATCTTGTCATTGCTACAATTAGCACAGCCAAAAACCTGTTGTCAATTCAGACACATAGTGGCTCTGCAAAACAGGGTAGGATTGCACCATGGGATTTACGAGGCTGTCATTTTCCTGACAGTCTGACACATCTTTCTCCTGCAAAGTAGCTGGTGGGTTGGAATGACCAACCTATCAGTTAGAAACCACCACCTCACCTCATTTTCTATTTAAAAAAAAAATCTCTCACTGCCATTAAGTGGATCCTGACTCACAGTGACCTTATCTGACAGTATAACTGCCTCTGTGGGGTTCCCAGAGTGTAATTCTTTGGGGGAGTAGAAGGTCTCACCCTTCTTCTAAAATATAGCTGGTGGTATCAGCTGTAACCCAATGCCACCTGCACTCCATATTTATTTATATGACTATCTTTAACAAAATGAAATTAGGGTACACATACACACCCCATATATAGACTGCTCTTACTTCTTTCCCTGTTCTACTTGCTCTCTTACGGGGCTTCGCATAGTTCATGAAAAAATTCCATTACCTTCCCATCCCATTTTCACACCAACTTTATGAAGCCTCCTCTAGCAAAGGCAGCCACACAAATTCACTCTTTAGTGGTAAGCAAGAGATATTTTTCATAAACAAGGAATACTCACACCTGTAACATACCACACCTCTAGTGTGCCCAACAAATAAATTTTAAAAACAAAAAATCCAACCAAACATTGTATACCCACCTCCGTTTCCTTTTCTTCAATAATATTTACAAGTCCTAAGAAAATATTTTGCAGTTTGATCAAAAATGGTTCTGGATAAATAGCCCAATCTTCCCATGCTCTGAAGCAGGTCATTACCCTTTGCTAAAATATAAAAAATAAACAAGAAACAAATTATTATTATAGGGCAGTATGTGTTAAACGAAACATCAGTTCATGAGAAATTACATCATAATTTCTATTTTAAATTGACATCCTTTATAACATTAGGTTAAAAATTACTTTAGTATAACTTTTTTTAAATGTTACCTTCCAATTAAAAGAAAAGAGGCAATCATAAAAAACAATAAACTAAAAGATAACAAAATACTTTATGTGGGAAGACTAACTCTTACATCACTACTGGAAGTATTAAGTCAAATTCTAAGAGATTGTATTATAGAGAATTCTGAATGTGAGAAAACAAAATTAGCCAAAATTTGAATCTCTAATGTTCCAAGAAGTACTCTCCCCTATTCTGGTGAATTCTGTTAGACCTTCCTTTGATTTTCAGTACATGAAGTCAAGTGATCTAAATGATGGGGGTCAATGGGAATCTTCTCAGGATAAAATACTTTCCTAACAAAAAGTCGTCTTCCTATAAATGTATATTTACTTGTTCAGTAAGCTATTTTATTTGACTTTCCTTAATGTTGGGCTATAGCTTAAGAGATTAAAAATGACCAAGTCTACTTTCTAAACCAAAAATTAAAATGCATCTTCCTTAATTCAGCCAAATCAATACCATTACAAAATAAATAATCTTCTGAATGCAATTTGTGAAAAAGTACTAATATTTAATTACACCCTCCCCCCAAAAAACCCCTCACTGCTATTGAGTTGATACAAACTCATAGCAATCCTATAAGACAAAGTAGAACTTCCCCTATAAGTTTCCGAGGTAGTAACTGTTTACAGAGTAAAAAGCCCTGTCCTAACCCTCCTTTTCTTGGGGTTGCACTACTATCCAATGAATGCATAGTGAGGGTAGTACTGCTAATGCCTACGCAACACTCGCATTAGCTAAAGCTCTGCTTTATTTTGATGCAACTTTGGGGGCGGGGGGGAGAGCCCTATCCTCCTCCTGCAGAGTGGCTGGTGGTTTTGAACTGCTGACCTTAGAATTAGAGGCCCAACTTGTAACCACTACACCAGGACACCTAATATTTAATAAGCACACCAAAAAATTACGACTAATATAAGCACACCTAAAAAAAGAACACTGATCAGTATACTTCCAAATTTCATAATTTATGACAGTAAAGAAAATTAATGGCAGAATTTTAAAGCTATGTTTTTCTAAAATATCCAAGTTTAAAGTACCATCATATACACTTGCATTATGTATTTTGCTAGCTCTCCAATGAGCTCCACCCTTATTTCATTGCACTGTTTTCCCTATCATTTTAAAACACAGCACAACAATAATTCCACATACCTTAAAGTTTTCAGACTGCAGATGGCCTTGAATTGTACGATAGGTAGCATTGAGGTCTGAAAATATCTGGCATAACTTTGTTTCAAAACTGAAATTCAAATAACATACTCTTTAAAAGCAATGTGTTGAACAGTCCCACACCCGTTTTACGTGCTAGCCAATGAAAACCCTCAAACTTCAAGTATTTTTTAAAAATTACTAATTTTTGTAAAAAGCAATGAATTTCAAACTGTAACTGAATTGCATTAGCTCTATTATTCAGAATTTTTCTCCTGCCAAATCTTGAGTCCTACTGTTTTATAATATTAAAAGCAACTTATCCACGCAAAAGACACCAAAGGTAAAGCTAAAGTGCTAAGACTAGGTCCAAGTCTCCAAACTGCCTTTTAGAACACTAGACATTAGTCTCCCTGAGGCTTACTTATACATTGAACATAAAAGGAGAACCAAGGAAGAGTTACTATACTAGTTACAATATAGCAACATAAATCCTTATTAAGAGAATACAGATCCTATGAATGATTAATTTTAGGTCTTTATTTTCTTCCCTTGTGTTTGTCATCATGTCTACCACTTCTTACAAAAGTAAACATACAATCTAAATGAAATTATTTTTTAATTCCATCTGTTTGTTTCAGTCTAGAAACCGATAGGAAATGAAAACTTTCAAATACTTTTAATAATTTCACTTAGAATTCTTAGTTCAATGAATACAATCAAATCGTACAAACCATCGAGAAATTCAAATGATATTATGGGGGAAAGGTGTTTATTAACAAAACAATCCTGTTTCTGAATTCCTTATCTTCTATTTCAGGAATAGTAGTTTAACTCATATACTTACAATTTTCTATAATATGAAGCATTGGCAACTTTGGCTGAAGAATTGTATAAAACATCAGAAACCAAATATAACCTGGCAATCTGTAAATGAGAAATGATACAAAGCACATTAAAAATTATAGCATACTTGAACTAAACAGCATTAACCAAATTTACCAAAACATCTGCACTAAGATAGTTTTATTGATTATTGTCAAATATTGGAAGGCACTTAGATGTCCTTTAACAAGTGAAGGGATAAACAAACTGCACACATCCATGCAATGGAGTATTATGCAGCAACAAAATCAAATTAGCTATCAAGCTACAAAAAGACAGAGGTGCTTTAAAAGCATACCACTAAGTAAAAGAAGCGACACGGGGTGCGATTCCAACTATATGACATTCTGGAAAAGAAGTGGTTGCCAGGGAGTCAGGGAGATGAACAGGGGAGCACAAAGCATCTTAAGCACAGTGCAACTAGTCTGCACAGTACCATAACGGTAGATACGAGATATTAAGAGACTTGTCAAACCCACAGAACTGCACAACAGATTAAATCTGAATATAAACTATTGGCGTTAATTAATAATAGCATCATCAGTATTGGGCTCATCGACTGTAATAAATGTTCCAGACTAACTCAAAATGTTATTAAGAAAAATAGTGAGGCGGTTGGGGTGATGTTTATAATGGGAACTCTGTCCTTTATTTTCTGTAGACCAAAACTACTCTTGAAAAAAAAACTCTTTTAAAAATCATTAGTCAATATCTAGAAAAGTTCTGTAGTATCATATCTTGGAATCGGGCATAAATCTGCTTAGCTGTACTTTATAATTACAATTGTGGTAAAGTGAAGTTTCTTAATAAGGTTTTCTCCCCATGTTTCTATAACTCCCACCCAATGACTGGGTGCAAACGTTGTGGTATTCTACACACATAGACTATCAAGAGAGGGGGACTGTCAATTTTAGCTGACATTGCCTAAATTGGCAGAGGCAGTACAGACCATGTTATATTGAGATCAGAGGCTAAGGTAAGGAGTCAATGAGACAGAACAAAGAAGCAGGTTGACTTCTGGGTCCACAGAGGCAGAGAACTAGAGAGAAATTTGGTTTACGGCTGAGGAGAAGTGCTGCTGGGGACCAATAACTCTAGCCTTAATATTTTCTGTTCCTGGCTTGTAGTAAACCTGTTAACTTCCCTAACACACTTGTTTAATCATGAGCATCGTCTGTGATTTCTGTGCATCCACTGCATTGAGTTCATCAAACTTTGCAGAAAGGTAGTGTCATAAGAGGAATGGCGAGTGACAGAACAAAGTAAAGACAGAGTGGAGGCAGTCTAACATCTGCCTCATCACAACAGGCATGGTGAAGAGATGGACTTCTACTGTAGACACGACTTTACACAAACTTTACATATGCTACTTTACACAAACACTAATTAGAAAAGTAAGAAATACATCACCACATCCGTGATAAAAATTTTTTAACTCAAAGACACTTCAACTTGTTGATAAATTGTAAAACAATAAACATAAATGTTTCTCAGGTAGGAGGAAAATAAGACCACATGAGAAAACTTTCTACCAATCAAGTTCTTCATGCAAAAATGTAAACCACTTCTATTACAAAAAGAATCCACCAACTGTTTCATCTTTAATAATTCATAAAGAAAAATTCCCATACCTTTTTAGGAAGGGGTGTCTTTAAGATGGACAATGACTCCGTGATGCAATCCACGATTTCTTCAGCAGCTTCAGCATTATTTAGACAGAAAACCATCGCATCCCCAATATCATTCTTCCTGGGAGTTAGTCCTCGTAAGATTTCTTCTAATTTATCCCTCTGTCTGAATACAATTATTAAAACTTGTAAATACTTAACAGATACAAATTTCAGATGGCATCAGCTTCTCCCAAACTATTTTTTTAGACTCCACAAGGAAATAAATAGACAGACCCTTTCTAAAAAGATCTACAAATAATCACATGAAATAAATTAAACACGTGAAAAAATTTTGGATGTTTTTCTCACCACCCTGATACTAAAAAATCTACTGGCTGGTCGACTACCATTACTGACCACTCTTAAAGGGATCACAATAGAAATTCCCTATTAGAAAGAGTAGGGGAAAGTTCAAAATCACAAAACAAAGGCCAGGTTTACTGGTCTGATAGAGCCTAGTGGAACCTCAAGACTATAGCCCATAGACATCCTTTAAGCACAGAACTGAACTCACAAGCAGCAATCAACTTTCAGCCAAGCAATAGATAGATTTATAAGGTAAACAATAACACTTGGGAAGTACCCACTCCACAGAATAATCAACCAAGGATGATTGCTTTAGCTCAAGGACTAAAATGGTAGGAAAGGAAGAATGGAATCAAGAAACACAGCCAAAGGTGGTATGAGAGGTCGTCATATTGCAAGGTTTGCAATCAATGATATGAAAGAAAATGTTATGACTGGTCAAATGGAAAACTGACTTGCTCTGTAAGTCAATTTACAATAAGTGTTTAGTTTTATTTTAAAAGATCACTACTTTTACCAGTAAGGAGAGGTTAATGGTCAACTGCACAGTTTTACTTTGCCAAGATGCATGCTTAAAATTATATGACAGGATGAACAATGTTACCAGTTTTAAAATTTTAAGTGGAAAAAAATTACTAGAGGAAAACATCTGTAGAAAGACTAATTTTTCTTTTAATCATTTTACTGGGGGCTCTTATAGCTCTTATCACAATCCACAGACTCATCCATTGTGTCAAGCACATTTGTACATGTGTTGCCATCATCATTTTCAAAACATTTTCTTTCTACTTGAGCCCTTGGTATCAGCTTATCCCTCCCCCGCCCTCCCTCATGAGCCCTTGATAAATATAAAACTTTTTTTCGTGAAAGGTTGCATTTTTACTTCAGGGACTTTTCTGAATACGTAATAGAAAGGGGGATAAACAACTTACTCTTCCTTAAGTGCTCCCTTTTTACTAGGTTCCTCCACAGATGCTTCCGTCTCTTGCTCTTCTGACATCCCGTGCAGGTATGGATTTAAAGGTGGTGGCCTCCAAAAAGATCCATTTTTGAACATACGAAAATCTTCTGTTCTCCACTTAATTGGAGAATCTCCCTAATGAAAGTCCAGAAAATTACTAGAAAGGTCTATCAAATTAGAGTCAAAATTAACCAAGTAACTGATTTTACTTGCCTGCAGAATAGAATAAAGCTTCCACCTATAATAAACATGAGCTGGCGTCTGGTTTTCAAATAAGAACCTAAAACAAAAGAGACACATTACACATCACATTCTTTTTAACAACGAGCTTTCCGCAAGTAAATTTAAACAAGAGGACTTTTTATTTTGCCTTAATTCCTTCTAAATAAAACAGAAAATGAGGTCCCAGAAGAGAAATCCAGACCCACCACTGCTAGCCATCCTCCACCCCAGCCTCTCAGTGACTGACTCTGATGCTCTGAAAGGCACCACGCACACTGCTGTCAGCCTTACAGTCAATTTTGTGAAAGACTGTTGTATCTGTGTATCTGGCAATGATTTTTCTCAAACCTCAATTTCAAAAGCGGTGTTTCTACACTACTTAAATTAAAAAGTATTATAACTTCTTAGACACCATTTCCATTCAGAAGATAAGCACTTTCCTTTAAACTTCATTTGGTTTCAAATATCTCCTAAGACTCATTTTTGAAAAGTATAATGAAAAGGTTTTTCCCTTCTAAAGAATGATGAAAGCATTGCATGTAACTGATTAAATAAAAATATTACGGAAGATCAACCCAAACAGCTTAGTCTAATGAAAATGCCTTTCATATTAAAACAAAGAACCCCACACATTATATGGCATTATCTTTAGATATTTTTTAATCTCAAAGAATTAAAAGTAGTTTTAACATGCACACCTGAACATAGGGTTGTTGATTTCTCTGTTCATAATCATAGCTTCAAACATTGGCCCTTCACGAACAACAAACTCTATCATTCGATGTATCAGGGCAAGTAAATTCCTACAACAACAACACAGTTAAAGAAAATGGATTCAGACCTACCACTATATAAAACTACAATTGACCTAAATTACTATAATTGTGCAGGAAACCATTATTTTGCTGCCTAATGAATTTTAAACAGCAAAGTAACCTGGAGCACATGGTAAAGCCTTGTGCATTAAGAGGGATGGTACAGTGGGGACAAGGAATGGGAAGGAAAGGGAGGTTGGGAAATCACAACAAAGCCTGATGGTAACAAAGATTTACTGTTCTAAATGGTTGTTTTCCAAATGAAAACATTAAATTATGAATTACAACTAATTGGAAAGCAATAAATATATAAAATCAGTCCCTTATAGCTTACATGTTATAATAGCCATGTAAAGGCTTATACACTGTTTTTTTTAAAAGAAAATATTTCTTAAACAAGCAGTTCTGTGGTGGTACTGAAATGTTACAACCATGTCTATAACTTATAAAACTGCAGAACTGTTTGACATGTTTAAGGCCTGATTTAATAAAAAATCCATCTACTGCCTGTTGTTTGAGTACACGTATACCAGATAAGAGTTTTTATTGAATCTGACCTTTAATGAGGCAACATCCCTTTGGATCACACTTCCAACTAGTTCATGTAATTCATGAAATGCATAATCCTGTCTTATGTATTATGAATCAATGAAGTAATTACAGCGGCAAAGCCTTAAATGCAATCTACTCTGTCCAAAAATACTCCAAAAGGGGGACAATAGTGAGATGCCCTCCCCATTTTCCATAACAACTACTTTCTAATTACTCAGCCAAAACAAACATTTCTGAGTGTGTAATCATTTTATTGGTTGGGCTCACAGAAAGTCTTGGATTTTTAAAATCTGAAGCTGGGTTCTACAATCATGTGATACTTCATTAGACTCCAAACACACTTTTCGACAGATTTTGTTATTAGGTAAAAATGACTACTGTTAGCTGCTTTTGATGTCTCATTTCACCAGTCCCCCAACATAGAGTTGGCAAATAAGTGGGAAAAGCAAAAGGATATTGGCTCTTGGTACAAGGCACACACTAAATTAACACCTTTAGCATTCCCAGCTCAAATCAAGTTCATATAACTGCTAAAATATAAGTATATAGTTATAGAACAAAACATTTTTCATTTGGCTCTATAATGTCCTGCTTCAGAGTACATAAATAATAAAATAATTTATCTTATGGTGGTTGTGGTTATTTTCTCCATTTTCACACAAACCTACTTAAGTGGACACTAGAATCTCTACATAATGAACAAGTTAATTTAAACCTAAAGAAGGTCATAAATTATATGACCATTAATATCTTTACTAAAGGACAGCTCCACGGTTAAATCTCTTACTTCAACATCAAGTTGTCAAAAGACCAAAAGTATCTCTTCATTTTAACCTAAAAATTACTCTTCTTTTACAGAAGTATTAAATGCTCTGCAAGCATGCAGTTCTTGATATCCCAATAAGAATACATTTTCAGCTTCTACATAATTAATAACATTATTTAGAAGATGATGTAAAATAATGATTAGGTTCCCAGGTTCCTACTAATGAGCCAAATTAAAGCTAAGGGGAATTTTATGTGATTATCGTAATAGATGAAACCAATTATTAGATGAGCAAATGCTATACATCCAGAAACATGTGAGAATTAAATCAAAAGCAACTTGACATCAGCACTAAAGATAGATGAAAAATGGTTTAGCAAGTTTAAAATAAAGAATTTATACTAATGGTGAGTCAAGATTTTACAGTAGAATGTATATTCAAAACTAAAATTTTATTTATAAATAAGCTGAATCACATGTAAAACTAATGCTGGATATATCCTTTTTGAATGCTGTCAAAATATTGTCCAATGAATTTATTATCAGTTGGAAAAAAAACCCACTAGTTTTAAATAGGCTTGTAACTTAACTATTTTTAGAAACATTAATTTTTAAAAGCTTTAAAATGACTTATTTAAAATCAGAATCTGACAATTAGTTGTCACTGAATTGGATTTAAAATTATTAAATTCATAATCACACTCCTTTCCCCTAAGTATTGTGTTTAATTCTTATTTTAAAAAAACAGTGGCTATTTTATATCAGAATTAAACAGTGTAGTACAAAAAGGTGATATATTTTAAAGTGTATTTATTTTAAAATGATCATCTTAATCTGGGCAACAAAAAAAAAAAAAGTCTCTCAAGTTATAATAAAACCACATTTATTGGAGTTGATCGTACCAATGTCTGGTCAAAAACTGTATACTTTCCCAATCCATCCCATGATGTTTTCCTGGTCCCCCGCTGCCGCAGACAGTTCAGCTGGTGTTGCTCACCAAGGCCAATGTCAAAGAGAATTTGGTAGTCTTTTGTGTTCATTTATTACTCAACCAATGTTGTGTTCTTGTGTTTGGGAAAAGGTCTAGCTTGACTGAGCAAGAGCATACCTAGAGGAATTCTTCAGCATGTTAAAAAAAATTTTTTAAAGAAAATAAAAAAAGCCCACGTCTTTGTCATTGGGAAAAAAATGTTTGAGTATGTCCAGTGTTCATGAAAATTATCAAAATTTCTTCTTAACATCAATTAGGACAAAAGCAAAGCTGTGTCTTCAGTAAGGAAAGCTTATGTGTTAACTGTTCATTATTCAAAACCAAGAAAAACTAACAGGCTGGTACAAACTGCAGCACTATCTAGAATTAAAATACATTTAACACACCTATCTCCCCATCAGAATAGTCTATTAATTGAATAGCAATTCCACATTAAATCTATCAAATACATTCTAATGTTAAAGGTATAAAATTCTCTACATTGTCAAAAATAAAAACAAAAAAGCTTAGGACAAAGTTGCAGAGCATAATAGTTTGTTCAATTTCACACTTTCCCCCCAAAAGGTACTGGGAAGAAACCATTGCTCAGTCAAGATATTCCCTTTTCCTCAACACCACTTATTTTAATTCAGAAGGGGATATTGTCTATATTTAGATCAGTAATAATAAAGAAAAACATGTACCTTTCTGTTGGGATAACCACTTTGACTATGGCTTGCGACAGAGTCTGTATATGAAGTCACATCAGATAATAAACATAGAATATGTGAGTATTGTTAACAAGTAACAAGCAAAAATATACATATGCATTGAAAATACTACACATCTAATCACAAGTTTTGCAGGCAATCACTGCACTTGAAGTAATTATACACTAAGCAATTACATAAATGCAAATGGAGGTGTTCAGTGAACAATAAATGTTCACCAAATGCAAAGAATCAGAACATTCCTGACAGAATGCACATCAATGCACTGAAATAGGTACTACACTGAGAATTATCAGATAAAGATTTTAAGTTGTGAAATAATTAACTGTTTGTCTCTCACCACAGTTTTCTACTTCGTTCCCAAGCCTTTAAAACCAGCCCTATCATTTTAAGTGTAATTAATTCATAACAGAACCAACAAATTCTTGCAACTTGAAATTAAGTTGGCTTTATGTTTAATGAAAATACCCTTTGCTCTTACTGAAGTAGGTAACTATTTAAAAAATTTTAAAAAACCCACAAGCTCTGAAATACTCTAATACCTCAGATCTTGAGAACTAACTTAGCTAACTGCCATGGGAACAATTCAACTATTTAGGAAATCTCCCTAATTGAGAAGTCACTTAACCAAATATAAATAATCACTTTCTCAGAACAAAGTACATTTAGATACTGCACTTAAGCAAACCTGGATACAACAGTGAAGGAAAAACAAACAAACAAAAAACCTTAGCAAGTGGTCAAAAAAGGAATGGTAGCCACAAATAAGATTTGATATAGGGATTCCATGGGCTAAGGCAGGGAACACATCTAGTTAAATCCTTAATAAGAGTTGTCAAACAATTACACATGTATTTCCTATGAAATTGTTGAAAAGAAATACTACCACAGACAGTATTTACAATAAGAAGCAGCCCTATATACATTTATTTAATTACCTTATCAAAATCCTCCTTGTTCTTAGGTGGCGGTAACATGGGAGCATTGGGGTTCTTTAATCGCTCTCTAGGCTGCGCATTAAAAGGCAGTCCTGATGGGGGTGGGGGGAGTGTGTGCTCCATCAAGGAAGGTGGAATGTATATTGGATGTGGAGGAATCGGTACAGCTTTACCCCAACCCAATTTCATTTCAAAAGACATAATCATCTTTCCTGCAATAAAGAAAACAAAGGTCACTTTGACAACCCTTCAAAAGAACATTTTTGAATGTTTGGTAAATGAATCTTCATGTTCAGTCTTAGCATTACTTATCCATTTCCCCCCCCAAAATTTTATAAGCTTTCCAGACCCAAAATGTGTCTGAATTCTATAACTCACTAAAAGTTCCTTACCATTTAAGTTTTTTAAAGCTCTTTCAGCATCTCTTCTATTCATAAAGGCCACAAAGCCACAATTTCTCTCTCTTGCTCTTTCTTCATCAGTTCTAGGCCACATAATTTTGACACTGGCTAATGGTCCAAATCTTCCAAATTCTTGGCATAGCATTTCTTCATTCATCTGTAAGAAGGTATTAGAGATTTTTTTGTATGTAAAAAGAAAAGAAAAACAAAATTAAGCCAAAAGAGAGCAAAAAAAGCTTTTGCAAATTGAAACAAACAAAAAAAACCTATGTATTAAATAGTTTCAACTTTCTATTCAAGTACTAAGAACTACACAAGCTTAAAAATAAATCCTTTCCTTATAACAATTGTTTTACTTTGAGAGTGACCAAGGTTGGGAAGACACATTTGTTGGAAAAATCAAAACTTTACTTCTCCTTTGCCTTTCTACTTTTCTGCTTCCAAGATTCTCGGTCTTTCTTATAAATAAGCTGTTCTACAGCAGTGGATGGTTTAGTGATTTAGTAGCCACTTCAGACAGGATTGGTTGGCACATTTAACTCAAAAAGAGAATGTGTTAGTGAAAGAAAAAAAGGAATCTGGTCACTTTTTCTTTTCAAGCACCCAACTCCCAGCATAATCCAAAACAGAAAGAGTAAACATGCAAAAGTCTACATACATTTTTTTCAGAGTATATTATATACAACATATCCTGATTTCATAAACACAATTATAACAAAATGAGCATTTAAAAAAGCATTGCAAATTCAGAGTAGATCAATACTAATAATAATGCTGATTTTAAGAAACTGTACCAAGATAATTTGGCCCATACCCATTTAGTATGAAGTTGGTTAGATAATTTTAAATGCTATTTCCACTAACGCTGTTTTGTTTTCAAATTGACTGATAAAGCAGTTTTCTTCCAAAAGTATTGCCCAAACCTCATTATTTTTTCTAATACTACCTGTGGATTAATGTTTCCAAGGTATAAATTAGTGGTGCTTGGGTCTCCTACATCATGTGAGCCAGGTGCATAATCATCAAGAACTAGAATAAAAATCGGGGGGGGGGAAATATTATAACCTGCAAAATTAAAGTCTGGACAATTTTTGTAAATTAAAAAAGCAAAAAACTGTATTACCACCAGATGATCTATTTCTTCTTGAAGGCGCATCCACTTTAAAAGGACAAGAAAACATTTCTTAGTCTATAGAATAATTAATCACAAATATAAATATTAAAATGTCACTTACTAGAACGACGCTGACCGTCAGAATCTGACTGAGGTGGTTCAAATCGACTTAATCTGCCTTTTGTCTTATGTCTTTCATCACGCTCTTCTTGAATTCTGTTGAAAATATTTGAAATCACTGACAAGGAACCACGCTTGCTGTTTTGCATACAGTAAAAAAAGAACTGATCCAGATACTTCCCTCAAATAACCTAAGATGTGAGCAATCAAATGCCAGTACTAACAACATCCTAGTGTAGAACCCTCAACTATAATACAGCAAATAGCAAATTTCTCGTGTATCATTAAAATGAAATATAAAGCTAATTTTTAAGGCAACAAGGAAATCTGTATTAAAACTACAGGATTTATTAGTTGTCCTCATTCACCAAGTGAGTACGTGGCTTCCAATGCAAACACAGGACTCCCGAAAACAAATAAATTAACTGAATTGAATCATAATGCTAACAACCTAGGAGCTGAATTGAAGTTTAATTCCGCTTCAGAACATACCCTACAAAGTAACACTATCCTATCTAAAAGAACCTTATGTTAAACTGGTTAGTAATAACTGTTTAATCTCTACACTACATTCTTTATACCTGCATCTCCATGAGCGTAGGGTAGGTGCTCCCCCCCTATAAAACTTACTGTTTTAATTCTTCTTTGAAGAGTTCCAAATTGCTTTTTTTCTTTTCTTTCTCCCCTTTCTTCAGTGGCTACAAAAGACATGACAGTTATACATTGCACAAAACAGTTCAATAATTAAATCACAAAAATCAGTCTTATTTTAGTGCAATGTTTATGTTCTCATTATTAAGGGAAAATAAATGTCTATTATCACTAAGCTTCCCTTTCTGCCTCTCCAAAATAACACCTGATACTATCTTCAAAATGACAATTAGCCGTGTTCAAGTGAAGGATCCAGTAAGGCATCCCTCAAAGGTCTGTCTGTGTGTGAACAAAGATAATGACCATCAAGTAACTGAACTGCCATGTAAGTGACCTACTGCCAAAATGATGCACTCTTCAAAAGCAATCACTTTAAAATGATAGGAGTTCCAAAAAACCTTTCGAATCCCTCTTTAAAACGTCTTTCAGAGTTCCAAAACAATTCAGTAGGGCCAAGAAAACTTGTACAGGAAAGTTTATAGCAGCATTACACTTAACAGGCCAAGTGCAGAAACCACCAAATGCCCATCAAACCATAAATAAATAAACCAAAATGTAGTACGTACCTTAATAAAATGGACATTAATCTACTAAAAAAGGGAATGAAGTTATGCTGACATGGATGACTCTTACCTCTATGATGCTAAGTGAAAGATGTCAGATAAAAAAATCCGTGTTGTATGGCTTCAACAGCATGAAAGTCACAGAGGGAGAAAGTAAAAGAGTGGTTGCCCAGGGACTAGAGATAAGGAATGCCTCTACTGATCATAGGGTTTCTTTCTAGGTTGATGAAAATATTCTAAAATTGGCTAGTGGTGATTATTGCACAAGTCTGTATTCATTAATATTCCTCCTTTAATTGCACACTTTTAAAAGGTGAATTTTATGGAATAAGAATTTTACCTCAATAGGACTTATTTTAAACATTGTTTCAGAGATATTTTAAAGGCCTCATTAAAACACGAGAAGACGCATCTCATTATTCAATATAATTTTATGTATTCACCAATTTGGCACTAAAAGATTTGGACTTACATTTACTTACCATCTCCTTAAAAACTTCACCTTGAGGGTGAATAAAATCTTTCTAATCCTGAGACTATGTAAAACAAAACCAAAATGCCACTAATTCTGTTAATTCCAGGTAAATCCCCAAAATGTTCTAAGCAACAGATATTGATGTGACATACAGACATAGTCTGAATAGCTCTGCTTAGATTGTTCAAAAAAATCCATCATTTTACACTTAAATCAAGAATTAGTCAATTTTTCACTTTAATTGAAAGCCTAACTAGTAAATAAGAATTACATATGGAGATATACAAACTCAGCCAATAGAAACATTCTATAACTATAATCACAGCACAGCAAGGTGAGTACAGTCACATAAATGTTCTGCTCAAAGAGTGTGAAAACAATATGAACAATGTGCCTTATTCTAATTCTGTCACTTAAGTAGACTACTGGGTTAGAAAGCATCAAAGGTCAACCTCTACCCCCAAAAAACTAAAAAGCCAAAGTCCAGCTCACAGTTGAAGTACTGACAGTGTCATTGGTGGCAGCATCTCTGAATTCAGAGGACTTACAGGCTTTTTGGTTTCTATCACAAGAAGAGATGGTGGTCGTTCATTGGATGACTGACTTGGAGGATTCTTTTGATCTGCAAATCTTGAAGATGGTTTATAAATTTTACCTCTTTTTTCATCAGTTTCATGTTCCTCTGAAATTTAAAACATTAAGTTTCAAAACAAATTTCACATTATTTGGATTTCATTTATCATTTTTACATCAAAATAAAAAATAGGTTTTTAGTATTCAGATTTGTCAGACAAAAATATAAAGCTATTTTTACTGTCGGTTCCTTAAAAAATATCAATTTAATCACTTAGAGTAACATTATAAAACATGTGAAATTTTAGTAAATGCACTGCAGTCTCTAAACCTGAATGGTACAAAATATTCTTTAATGTTATCTGGCTCCAACTTCTCGCTAATCAACTCTGGACATTTATTTTGCCAATAAACATCACAACTAGAGAGTGCTAATAGGAAATGTGAAACCATGAAGCAATCACAGTTCTTTCATCCTATCTATCAGCAGTCAATCAAGGAATACGATCTGCTCAAGGATTACAATACTCACCCTTACCTTTAGCTGCATTAACAACACCACCTCGTACAAATGTTTTCACTTTATTACCATCACTTCCTTCAAAAGCAGCAAGAAATTCCTCATAGATCTCGGCAGCTGCCTTTTCATCCTCCTAATGTATATCAAAATATTAATGGTTATCAAATAATATAAAAATTCTTCCTGAACATAGGGTTAAATTTATCAATGAATAAGACAACCTCCCCTCTCTGGGGAAAGTAGCCCTAAATAAGTAGTGAGATTCTTAATAGAGCTATATTCCAAACCCACTGCCCACTGAGTCAATTCTGACTCACAGCTCCTTAACAGAGCCACATTCCAAGCCCCTGCCCAGTCAATTCTGACTTACAGCAATCCTATGCAGGGTTTCTGAGGCTATAAATCTTTTACGGTAATAGGAAGACCCATCTTTTTCCTAAGGAACAGCTGGTGGATTTGAATTGCCGATCTTGTGGTTGGTAGTTCAATGCTTACCCAATAGTACAGCCAGGGCTCCTAGAATTCTTAGTTGATATTAAATATTAATTTTCAAACTAATAGAAGTTTTACTACTCTGCTGGCAATTTGTGCAACAAGAAAAGGGTCCACTAGTTTTATGTGGATGTGTAAATTTCCTTAATGATTCAAATGCTACATTACCTGAGTACTGACGATAAGATGTTAGTCTATTAATGCTTATGAAGTTTCCAAGACATGGTAAGAAAGGTTTATGTTTCAAACTCTCCAAGACAAGAGTACCACATATTACTACTCCAGTCTCTAAATTTCTGCTCTAGGTAGATGGCATTTCTTGCTTGAAAAAGCTCAGAGCGTTATCATTTTCAATTATAAATATTCTAAACATCCTCAAAACATGTATGAATAGAAAGGTCAACAGCACAAAACAGATAATCCCCAGGTAAATATAATGGTGATGTGTGCTGCCCAAAATGAGCCCCCAAGACAGCAGAAGTGGGCCCCCCCACGGGGTTTTCTAGGGCATCATCTACACAGGAGATGCCAGGCCTTTCTCCTCTAGAGCTGCTGTCAGCTAGTAGCGAGTGCTTAACCACTGCACCAACAGGGTTCCTTAATAAACATGACAGTCCGTGCATCGAATACCAAGCTTTTTAAAAATGTTAGGCAAAGAGGATAGTCATTAGAAGGGAAAGAAAGAATGCATCCATATACTCCACATGATGTATATCAGGGTACACTGCAAATAAATCAAATCTACTTTTTTTGAAAAGTGAAAGCACAAGTACTAGCAGAAAATATGGAGAAATTCCTTTAAAATTTCCTTTAGAAATAGAGGAAAAAATGAACCGGAAAACCAGAAACTATAAGGAAAGCTGTCATATTTCATTACCTAAGAATAAACAGTTTTCTCATGGAAAAACAACTAGAAGGAAAATAAAAACACAATTGGCAAACTGGAGAAATTTGTGTACCACTTTGTAGACAAAATGTAAATACACTTAATAGAGACTCTAAAAATAGATGTGGCCTACTAACTTACAAGGAAAAAAGGCAGACAGTTCACAGAAACAAAATCTGCTCAATCTTGCTCAAACGGAAAATGCAAAAGAAAAACTGCACCAAAAATCTTTTTTTCACTCAGCAAATTGGGACACGTAAGGAAAACAATCAGATATTGCTAGTCAGAAATTTAGGTTATTCTGCCCATCACAAGAGCAAGCTGACAATGTCTAGAAAATCCACCTTTATCTATTTTCCAGTAGTAATGTCACTTATGGAAACATTTTCCAAAGACACAGTAGCAAAAATCACAGAACAGAAAAACTATGCATAACACTATTCTGTATACTATTTATAATGGCAAAACATCAGCCACAAATATCTCAATAGCATTTCAGTTGAAAACTGTAATGATTATAAACCTGTCCATACAGCTATTTAAAAATAAAATGAGGAAATTTTCTATCTTCTGCTACATAATACTCTGAATATAACTTTAGGTTAAAAAAAAAAAGGCATGGCCAAGAAACGTGTCCTTTAACTGGCATACTTTTGCTAACCTAAGAAAGGGCACAGGAATATGCTACGTGTTCATAGTTGCAAAAAGAGCAGAACAGGGTGGGGCAGAACCTGCTACACAGAGAGGAGGAGGAGAAACAGGGTGAAGGGAGCACGAATACGTGAGGAATCCTTGAAGATACTCCTGTTACCAACTTGACGGGGCGACGGAAGATGACCTGGAGGTCAAGAAATGCTGGAAACATTTCTCTACCTTCCCGCTGATTGCTTCCTTAGATACACTCCTTCCTTAAGCAAATTCAAATTACACTTTAGACATTACCTTTTTCTTTAATTCTTCTTGTTCTTTCTTACTTAATGTTCGCTTAGCTGTACTCATTTTCCCAATACTGAATGCTTTGAGTTTGTTTTCTAGAAGAGGCTATACAAAGAAAGAAAAAGCATACATTTACATATACATTGCTAACTGTAACTTAAAAACCTCAAATGGAAAAAAAAAAAAAAACCTCAAATGATTACAAAGTCTTAAGAATAGGTGACTTGTTTTGAATTTATCAGTAATACCCACGGGTAGGTTTTGATAAAATTACTCATTAAGGAGCGTCTATTTGTTAGTTCAATGTCAGTAATATGCAAAAGCCATTTTTTCTTACGTTAAAAAAAAAATCAAACATAGAGGAAGATACCAAATCTTACAACTCATATAACCCATTTGTTGGCTGTAAGACTAGAAAGCACTTGAGGAGGGAAAGTACAGGTGGTTCTGAGTTAAAAAAAAAAAAAGTGCAAGAAAAGAGAACCTCAGATAGAGATACATTTCCAAAGTCCCACAACAGGAATCCATCATTCCAGGTACCATAAATGGCATAATTTACATTTCGATTGCAGTAAATTAATTCATTCACTATCAATAATCCCTATGATTATGAGCATATGAACTTAATTTTCTTTATTAAGAATGTATCATCCACAGTATTTTAGGTTTCAGTCCACCTGAGCCTATACAGATTAATTATGAATATAAGAAAATAGTAGTTTCATGAATTCTTCATTAATTTAACTTAGAAGTAATTTTCCTGTAAAATATGGCCTGAAAAAATTGTCTATAGACCTGAAGGTGTTCAGTTAGTTATTCAGTTATTCACTTAAGTATTGTTATAATTCTTATCTAAAACTTTAAAGAGAAATGTTTACTAAATCTAACCTAAGATATTAAATGTGTAATTGAAATCTTATAATTGAAATTGAAAACTGATTTTCCCCCTACACAGTAAGTTACAAAATTAGGCTTTGTCAATCCCTTTGTAATTAAATGGCCTTTCTACTGAGGCTCTCTGTGACCACTCACTATGTTTTAATCATCTATTTATTTCCAGTTACAAATATGTGGCACTTGCTTCAGTAAATGTTTGAGAAAGGGAGGAAAGTTAAATCTGATCATCATTCGTTCACATCCAAAGCCCCTTGTTTTTTAAGTAAAATTCTTAAATGAAATATATTTCACATGCATGCTAAAACACTCTACATGTTTTACCATTAACTCTATCTTATATTCTTTATCAAAACTCACTCTTGAGAGGTTCTGATGGGGAGAATCACAAAGATTTTCACGGCTACTTTCACTCCTATAATTATGTTTTCGTGGGCTCTTTGGTCGTGTCCGAGATGGCATATCACTATCTGAGGGTCCCGATGAATCCATCTTCAAAAAAAATAAAATACATTCTTAGAAAGGTCATTATATAGTACTGAAAGCTAAAAGTAACTCAAATGTCCAAATGATGACAAATTTCATTATACCCTACCAAAATTCACATTGCTTAATATAAGCTCTGATCTCATCAGAAAGGTCAAATACAGAGGAAGTTTTCAATAATTCTGATTTGTATTTGAAAGTTCTAAGTTTACTGCTAACAACAAATAATTTTCCTTGAAATTTAACAAATACATTTCTGCATTTTCAAGAAAAATGTCTACCAAACACTTAAGTCTGAGACTAACCAGTTTGTCTGTCAGCCTTCCTCAGAAGTTAACATAATACTTCAGGGGGGAAAAAATCAGCTATTTCATTTTCAATTCAAATAATCACATAAATATCGTCCCCTAAACATAAACATCATACTTTACTTAATGTGGAGCCCTGGTGGCCTAGTGGTTACAAGTTGGGCTGCTAACCACAAGGTCAGCAGCTTGAAATGACCAGCACCTTCACAGGAGAATGAGGCTTTCTACTCCCAGTTAAGGATTCCGAAATTTACAGGGGCCATTTGACTCTGCTCTATAGTAGAACTGACTTGGTGGCATTGAGTTATGCATTAATGTAATTTCATCACAAAAATTTAAGAGACCCAAACACATGGTCAACACGGAAATAATACTGCATTAAAATTTCTATCGCTTCGTCAAGAACATTCATACAAGTGTGTTTTCTCTGTGCCTAATAGTCAGAAACCCAGGTTGGCAGTTTGAAGCCACCAGCAGCTTTTCAGGAGAAAGACTGAGCTTTCTATTCCCATGAAGTCACAGTCAGGGAAACCAACAGGGGTCACTCTGAGTTAGCAGTGACTCGATAGAAGTGAGTTTGGGGTTTAACAGTAAAAAATGCAATTACTACTAGTACATCTGGGTGCGACTACCCAGATTCATGCTAAGGTGCCAACATTTTTACCTACCAATTGCTTTTGCACCATCATTGCGATTGTCAACATGTTTTAAAAAGTTAAAATGTCTTAGTACTATTAGAAAATAGCATTGAATTCACAGCCTCCTAAAGATCCACAAAGATGCTCTGAACACTACTATAGTAACACAAAAGAAGTTTACTACATTATTCAAAATGTCAAAAAGCTGTTAACAAAAACTACCATACTTTGGTAGTACATCTAAGAGAACAATAGAGAAATTACCATGATTCCTATGCAAGGATAATATATGTGAATCAAGTTTCCTCTTATCAACACACAACGAATTGCACTGCCTCCCCACACACAACACCCCACCCTCACCACCACCCTGCCCAGTACAGACCGTAATGGTGTCCTTAAAAAGAAAAATAGAGCTATGTGAGTTGACTTGTCAAGCGTTTTCAGTAGGTGTGCTGGCAGTTAAGAAAAGAATGAATATGATATAATCCCATAGTATACCTAGTCCTCGTTTCTTGACTATCTCATTGTTTGACTATTTTTGTATTTATGACAGTAGTAAAAGATCTACTATCCGTGGGACAGGAGGAGAATCAAGGGAAATAGAGGAAAGAGCTGGGAGGAAAAGGGCATTTATAGAGCTCTAGATAAAGACATGTACATATGCAAA